TTATTTGAACTGCCCTCAACGATTTCCACCAAAACACATCATAGTCGTTATTGCTATAAATGTTAGGGTTTATGGATCGGGTTATCACATCGGTTTCCCAAAATCATACTAAACATGGTTAAGATAATAAAGTCGCCCCATTAAGCTAATACCATATTGCATCGATGTATTTGTTAGTTATTCAAGCTTTTTAAGTGAAAACTCTGCAGCCCATTACCAAAAGCAACACCAAGTGAACCAATATTTCTGGATCGCAATTTGTAATACAATAGGGCAGCTCGAATTCTTTAATGCCGGAAACTTCTAATGTTTCAGAGTAGCCTAAAACAAAAACGCCTATTTCCAACCAGCTAATCCCCAATCGACAATATAACAAGTTATTCATAATGGTTTCGTATGTCATCATAAAGCATTGTCATGGCTTAACGATAACGTAATATGATTAATAAAATTGATGAGACCATTAACGTAGACTCGATCGACAAGTCGACTAATAACTACCATTAAATGATGTTGATTTCTCGTAATTGTCTTTATTTATTATATAAGATATTAGTATGTTGTTCTATCACTTGATCATTTGACAAACATCTTGAAACATTTTCAGTCTAATTAAAGGTTTAGTGTTACAATTTTGCATGCACATCATCAGTATAGGCAGTCGAGAAAACCTCCTGCAAACCATAAACATCACTGTTGTATTTACCTCAACACTAACAAAGATTTATTCTATTATCATAGATATGAGTTAGGAGCTGTATTAAACTTGATTACAACTAATACTCCTTTTGATAATTACATGAGCATCACTTGCTGTTTGTCATTTTGTAAAGATTCATTAAACCGAAAACATCGTGCAGCACCATGTCAATTGTATTTGTGACACATACGCTTTGCCGATTTCAACAACTTATAACTACAACATTTCAGATTAGTTAATTTCTACCTTGTACCAAACTCGATACTTGCAACTAGTATAAACAATCTACCAATATGTGTCCGTATAACTAATTGGTATAATGCGAATCGTAAAATTAAGTCTAGAGTATGTCTCTCACGGATGCACACACGTTCAAAGAACTACCGTCAGCTATCTCTCCAAAATTCACATTACCACTAGTTCAACGTATTAAAAGCATTTTTGATAACAATTCATATGTATTAGTAAATTCTCTCACAGTTAAGCAACAATGGGAAATGGAAAAACTTCCTGTAAATAAATAAACAGTATCAAAATTAAAAGCTAACTGAAACACTAGGTACAATTACTCTTCTTCGTGATTATAAACTTGTTCCTTCAGTCAGCCTACTGCTGATACACAAACAATGCTTCCTTAAGTTTGGCTGTTAATCAGCGGCTATTACTGAGTATCTTATTATGGTTTGTTAAAATATCTCTGTAATAAACCATTCTTCGTTACGATAATCCCAACCTTAAGTAATATTCAAGTAGATAATAGCGTAGTGGCATTGATCTTTAACCACATGATCTTTGAAGCCGAGCATATAATTACTGCGAAGATTTGCACCCAATATGCAACACTTTGAGAAAGTTGAAAAATAGTGATCGTGGGAACAATTTTTTATATGACATGGTTCGACTATGCAGTTGTCACTCTGTATAACTTATCCTTATCCACAATAGATATATTGTTCTATCCACAGCCCAAATATGATCTTTGAAGGTGCTAAACATCATACTGTTGATTTTCACGATTCGGTGAGTCAGAATAGACAATGGTGTGAATTCCATGTAAGATCTCATAGATCTGGGAGTCACATCATGACAGATCTACGACTTCGGGATGAGGTATATTATTATAGCATCAAAGATAAACAAACTAATGTAGGACTAGATCATAATTCCACAATGTCTCTGAATTTATGTTCCGTCATGGTAAAGCAATTAACGTGTTTAAAGCCTACCAGTTAGACCTGAAAATTTTCACTCATGGTAAAGTTCTGTAAAGCTAGTGAAATCGTACCAAATTATGCATCGATTAGAACTTTTACTTCCGATGCCAAATTACTAAAGGTCAAATATTTCGTCAGTCATCATCAAGACCAAAGATGACTGATGTGGATCGAAAAACAAATATCATGAGGCTGAGCTTCGAGGTAGATTTTCCTACTTATGCATCTTATTTTTCTACTCGCTTTATGTTTAAACAAAATTTTCACATGATAAAATTGTTTTCATCCTGAGTGGACGCCGAAATAAGAGCATTGCCTAGTCACTTGGATAAGAGTAATCCAGTACAGTTATTCATCACTTGGTGTGATCTGACGATAATTACCCCATTACAATACTGTCGTTCATCTCCAGTGAACCTGTCACATGCAGTGCCAAAGCTTATGATACAAAATATTTTAGCTGATTTCTGAACATATAAATCCATGTTATTGGGTTATTAGTTCAGTATCACATTAGCCAAGTACCTAGTTATATGTCCATATCCTTACATGTCCCCCATTAGTCAGGCAGTAATTATCCAGAAAGATACAAAAAACGAATCACATCATGAACAGTGTAGAAGGAATTTCATCAAACTCACAAATCCTAAGTGTCAACAACTGCTAATTCAAATATCATATATGCTAGGTCTGTGAGTATTAACACTGTGCCATACCCTTACGTTAATCTAAAATAACGTACGAAACAGCCATAGAATCGTCGTATCTGATATTTAAAAAGTAGAAAGACATGCTAATCCTATCTAAAACCTAACTAGAAATCTTATTTGATTCCTGATTCCTTAGTGGCTTTTGGGTGGATGGTCTATATTATATTGTATAAGATGACATTTAGCTAAACGGGCGAGTAATACAGAATTCCTAAATTTTACTATTTGTGTGGAGGAGGTTATAGAACACTCGACTACACCTTCCTATAAACTCAGTGAGAGTCATTACTATTTAAACTCGCTTTTGTCTACCTCCTATAGTCAGAATACATGATAAGTATGAATACCTTTATATTCTTGATGTTTGGCGTCACTATTCCAGACAATCAGCCTTTCCACGAACCTTTGAATTTTTGGGAATTCAAGGAGATTAATTTTTCCGATTGAAACAATCATTTCAAGTGAGTAAAAGACTGTTTAATCTGACTTTAAAGAAATGTTCTCAACGGCTGAAACTTATATTTTTGGGTTTTGTCGTTGTGCATATATTTTTTTCGAACTCTTGACAAGCGAAAGCCATCTCTACCTCTTACAGGAGAACTGAAGTCATTTGGCTGATTTAAAAAATTATACTAAAAATTGGTAACTTCTCCGTGTTTTTGGATGCATTTGTTCTACTCAACATCTGAACTTGTTTGTTTATATCATTGTTTTCGGACATTTGGGTTTGTCTTTGGTTTGGTATTTGAGAGCTTTTCCTCCGTGAACCTGCGAAATTAAATGTTTGTTTTGTAATTGTGTTAAGTCTACTATTCTAGCAACATAGATAAGCATACTTATGCTGACCCATAGCATATGATACATTGCTGAGACAGACTAACGTATTATCACATTCACTTTAACTTTTATTTACGTTAATTCATTATTCTATTAGTTTGTGGTTAGTCCTCACGTGCACTGTAATACTATTTTTCTTAGTACTCACATTTAGCTTACCAATAGGGTATGGTTATTACGTATAACCCCAAAAGACCTTGGGGAACAAACCGTTTGATCAACTCTAAACTTCTGCTCAGCATAAACACCAACCGCTGACAATAATTGATGGTCATGTCAATGACAACTGCCAGTGAAAACAGTTATGCAGACAGTAGAGTGCACGGAAAAATGATTGACAGAGTATCCACCCAAATATTTAAGCTGTAGTGTCGGCTGCTATGTCAAACCCACATGGCTTATTGTGGCTTCTAGATAAGCCAATTTATTCATTCTTTAATCACACTTTGACCTTGTCACTTATTCGCCTGTCAACCTTGATTGATTTATGTGAGCGTATATGTGTGTGTATCTTAACGTACTCATTGCGCATATGTCTTTTTCTGTGTGACTATAGATACTGATTAATGCTTGGTTAAACGGAGTTGGCCTGCGTGATTTCGGCACTGTGCGCTGTTTCGTTTTGCACTCTTTCCTTTACTTCCTGTGCTACATCTCTCTGATTGTTTGTTCCGATCAACGATTGTGTAAAATACATGTGTTCAAAATTCATATTCGTATTTGAATTATTCAATCCCACTATTCACTAGTGCGAGTTGAGTCGATAATTTTATACGAGAATAGACGATCTTTATATTTCAATAACAATCAATCATATGATATAACAGGAGTTAGATCCCGAGCCAATAAATTTCGCGAACCGGTTTTTCTATCATTGTGGTTATATAAATATCAGTGACGAAACGTCCTTCAAGCGTGAACGAATTCAGCATGTATGCATATAACTAATGGTAGTTCTATTCGATCAAATTAGCGCAGATAGTTTCTTCATACATCTTATACACATGGGACGAAGCCTAATTGTTATATAGTTTCACTGTGCACGGAGTCATTTCTCTCATGCGGATTAAAGTGACAGTACATGACTTCCAGTTAACGAGTCAGTATCGTCTCACCGAAAAACTGTTGTGGGAAGCACATTCGTTTCGTCCTGTCCTCTGTCAAATTTATTGTTCTTTCCCAATCTTATAACCTATCTTCATATTCGCCTAAATTTTGTTATACTTTAACTGGATACAATCATCACCGAATTTAGCTGTATCTAGAGCATTTAAAAAAGAGAACTACTGACAATTATGACTGCTGATGACGAATTACTTATTAAAAGCAATTAAAAGAACCGAAAAACTGGAACTGGTATCAGCATTAAGAAACCCGCGTAAGTCAACACCTTTTATGCAAATTTTGTTCGAGGTCACACATTACTGAGTATTCTATCATTTTAATACTTCAAATCATATGAAACTGAACAGGCAGGCCAGGATAACCACTTTTGGGATGCAAAATGAAAACTAACTAAATTGTTACTTCACACCTTCACAAATTTTCTTTGGCGGTTGTTTCGCTTCCACAAGGTTAATGCTTCTCCTTGCTTTTTTCTAAACAAACATGGCATATGTTCAAATAAACAAAACTGCTTTGTAACACCAATTAACACGATCAAAGATATCGACTGATCTATACCAGACTGTGCTCTTTGACTCATGAATGATACTTAAGTAGATTTGAGAAACCTCAACCACTTCCTAGATACAATAGGAGTTTATACTGGTGTGTAGACTAAAGCCTAAGGGTTACAGTGAGGGCTTAAGTTTACAAATTAAATTTAAATGTAAGTGGGATTCACATTATGAATTAACAGTTGTATTTCCAGGATTTTATTTAACTGTGTGGGTGAGATAATCCAGCGTCAAAATCGAAGTTCACCATTGAGTTTCTGCCTGGTTCGTGCACAACCTGTAGCCCTGCTCAACTTCATTTTAAGCGAGTTGGAAAGTTGCTCACCAATCACGTGTTGAAGTAAGGAATCCAACTAATTGACGAATCACATGGAATTCATTGAAATCAAATCCTTGAGCTTTTCGTATATGAGGAAGAACGATACCGTCGGATTACTCAAATCTGAGTAGCTAGGATAGGGTTTCCACCTGAGATTAAATGGTCCGAAGTCCCAGGTTTGGACCCTGGATTATGGAATGTTCGGTTTTGTGCTGACAATTTGTTTTAGACTTATAAACGTTTAGAGAGTGCCTTCGTAAATTATCTGTTCTTAGGGAAAGTAAAGTGCTAATGTATTAAGTAGTTTGAAAACCATGATCAAGTCACTTCTAGTTAAGGCCTTTTATCGTACGGCAGTTTTTTAATTCTAGTAACTAACTTGGTTTCTAAATATATTATTTTTATTTATAACAATGAACCCAATGCTCAATTTATTCGAAATTATCAAATCAAACTTTGGTAATGACACCTACTAACTTGGTTTCTGCTTCTTTAACCTTATTTCGACAGTTTACTCCTGTTAAGGTTCTGTTTACTTATTTGCAGCACTTGGCTTTGGATGGGTCATGGAAGTTTCAACATCTACGTGGCTGAAGGCTCTACGTAATAGTCAGGTGCTCTTAAAACTTATAAGCTATTACACTTCAGTTTTCGACTTACTTTTATTGCGGAGTTTATCTAGACGTAGAGTAACTCAACCTTCAACAAATAAGTATGCATCAATAAAATTCATCTAAGACTTCCTTAAGTATTAGGGTTAGAATGTCGAGATAAATGATCAGTCTTTTGAAAATTAGTAAAAAGTAGGTAATTTCAGAACAGAAGTTACACTTTCTCATCGTACTCAACGTAAATATTCTACTAGAACTAACACTCAGACGTTGTAATGTCCACGAATCATAAAATTATACCCAATATCAACGATTAAATAAAGTAGTCAAATCAGGACAAATCATTGACTTGATCTGAGCTACGTTGGTAGATACAGATTAAGGGGTTTGAGTCCGCGCAATAACCACAATCCCTGGTCGAAGAATTTGAGTGACATGGCTTTGAATCGTTCATAATGGTACATATGCATCCACTCTTTGTCTTTTTCTAGATGTTGAATTCCAGATTTTTTTCGTACATATCTTCTCATTCTATGTTTTTGAAATGTGTTCCAAATATCCAGTCTTCCTCATTATCATTGCTACTACATTATTTCGACCTCTCTTGGTTTTCTTGTTACATTCATGTTGTCGGGGTAATCTGATAGAGCAACGTGGCTTATCGCATATCAATGCATTAATAACGAGTAACAATAAAGTGGGACCACATATTGTTTCGAGCATAAAAATAATGTTCCCTGGTAAACAACAATATGGGCTCTAAGTAGGTTATGATGAGAACAAAGCCTATATAACGGCATTCATAAGGCTAATTAGTGTACGTGATGGATGTTACTTAGAGCCTGCCTTAGGAATAGTGCTTACGCCACCCATACATCCTAACGCCATTCTTAAAGAAGCTGTCTGAGTTGTAGCTCATCTTGTTCTGTTGACTTACTCGTATTTAGGATGTCCAACTTCGTCAAAATGTTTACACACAATAATTATAAAACTAATTTTATGTCTGTAGATGGCTTGCTTATAAAACCGAAGTCAGCTGACGATAAGATGTTCTATTTGTAGCTCTGTCAGAAAAATGTGTCCTCGTCAGTCTTCGTGTGAACTTTTGTTACAAATTTTGCTCTTATGATGTATATATCGTTTACTCTGTAAAGTACTCAGCTATTTAAGATGTATAGCGCCAGCAAGTGGATATTTAGCTCATTTAACAAGTACAGTTTTATTCACTTGGATTTTAGTGAGTTACTTTTTTACAATTTAACTGGAAAATAAATAGGTTCTCTGTAAATTGAAGGAATTATTTATATGTTGCAGCAGCAATAGTCGATTACAGTGAGCCGTAGCAACATGTATATTCCATAATCACAGAATGTTTTTGCACAAAGTTTGCATTACCTGCATGTGGGCACAATCATTAGATCCAATCAGAACACAGATACAGTCCAACGAGCCATAGAAAGAAAATACAACATGCAATTAAGTGCGTTTTTTTGTTGTCTTGTTTGAAGTTTTCTTTTTTTTTCTCACATAGATGATGGGCCAGTCACAATCACAATATCAATATATAGCTTATAGTCTCGTATAATTGTGGAATTTCATGTACTTTCTGAACATTTTTTTACTAAATACTATACAAATAATATTCCACTTGTATTTAAATGTACCCTATATTTGGAATTACAGATGCCAACTAAACGTATCCTCCCATGGAAAATACCAGACTGGCTTCTAGATGATCCTTTATTAAATAAATCTATATCAGAATATTTACCAGTCCACTATAATTTTGAGATCCATAAAACCATATGGCGTATACATTGTCTTCGAGCCAGGCGGATTGCTTTACAAATGCCAGAAGGTTTGCTCTTGTTTGCAATACCGATTTCTGAAATTATTCGAAATTACTTTATTCGTAATAACAAAACCTCAGGTCATACTCTTACTATCTCTACTAACGATACTACTGTAGGTGAGGACAGTATTAAAGATATTGATGTCGTAATTTTGGGCGATGTGACTTATGGAGCTTGTTGTGTGGAGGAGCTGAATGCAAAAGCTCTTGGTGTTGACTTGCTTGTACATTATGGTCATAGTTGCTTGGTACCGTTGGACTCCATTTCCGTTCTGTAGGTTCTTGCTGCAGAGTATTTATTTACGCTTTTTATTCGTAATTAATGGATTAAAAGTTGTTTTAATATCATTGTCTCGTGCTTAGCATTAATACACAGATTTCGGCTCTTTGTTTTGGGTCCGGGAGATAACTTAATATATGACTACAAATGTTAAATGGTGTAAATCACAACCAATCATAAGGCACCCGATACGTAAACTATCTCTCAGTTATCCATGGAGAATACGCCAATCTGTAGCTTCCATCATGGAACAAATTAATAACTTTTTTTGCTGCCGTTTTTCTACTGTTATTGGATTATTGTCTTCAATTCTTTTCATGTCTTTTCGATTTTCTAATTCTGAGTTGATAGATTTTATCAGATACATCCCTGCCAGCAACCACTAGTTTTATATGTTCCATACTATCTGTATGAGCAATTTATAGCTGTTAATCACGGTATGAACGACTGTCTGATATTTACTAAACCATAAGATGCTACAACTGTTAGTTTGAATTTTGACGACTGATTTGTTACTATCTTAGTAAATAATTTGTTCCATGATAAACTATATATATATCCTTAACATGTAATTTGATGTGTAAAGTTTTCTCTGTTGTTCGACACTAAGAAACAGCACCGTGTGACGTTTCGCTCCTAGATTTCTTCTGTCATCCGCTCTCGATTCGATAACCATAAACAGTGGGCTTTTTTATTTACATTGCTACCGATCTTCAGTAGCGGAGTCACCAAATATTTTATTTTAACACATAGATATTGGTACAAGAAGGTAACAAATACATATGCGCCACACATATCTCATTTGATATGTGTGAGTGCTGTGATACTGCCCGGGTGTCCAAACCGAAGCAGGTGGTTTTCTTAGGGGGTCACACCCGGAGCCTTCGACCTGAAGATCTGACCCACATAGCAGTGGAGCAACGCAAGGAGATGCATTCCCATGGTAGTCGGTGACCAACAATTGGTTCATACGCCATTTGTCCCCTCAGGATACTGGAGCCCATGTGCACCATTGGTTTAGAACCAGGGTTTTCCAACTCCCCTAGGTGGACTCTCCATGTCCACCAACCCGGGTAAAGCGCTGGACATTTGCTTTCCGTCCTCTTAATTTCGCAAACAACAGTAATACCACGAGAAGGCAGTGAGCAGGCACAGGCTATATACGCGTGGCCATGTGAGAGCATTTCGAGAGGGGGAGCGGACTCTCGGCCGTACCAGGGCATTTGGAGGAACTCCAGTAGCGAGTATAATCAGATTCATAAATCCTTTTTTACGGAAAATGAGGGACATAATTATCCGTTGTTTATTAATGACCTGCTTGGATGTCGGTTTTACACAGTCACAAGGACCGTGCTCCCTGTTGACATTCCGGAAGCAGCTCTGAGTGACATGGCGTCCGTGTTATCCTAAAAATTGTTCTGTACGTTGAGTATGCGATCTTACTGTGTAATAAGTTACAATCTTCCAAAAGTCCTAATTTTTATGGTTCAAGATAAATTTATTCGGTACTCCAAAGTCCACCTTTTCTAAATTTATGAAAAACTATGTTGTATTTTTATCACATTCAAACAATCGATAGTATAAACAGATGTATTAGTTCTCATTATTCTCTGTTAATTATCTGGATGGTCTAGTTCATGTTTACAAGTAATAAGTCACAACTATAACTGTAACATCTAGTTAGGCAAACTTGCTTTCTGTGATACATAATTCTCAGGTGGTTCCTCATGTATATAATAGGTTTGTATTAAAATACTCAGTGCTTCTTTTTTCTTTACTTATCCGTACGTACATAGATACGTATTTGTTGATATTCAGATCGATATCGTCCATCTCATAGATAGTGTGAAGGCTAACTTTGAGAAGTCTTCCCGTTTAGCCCTTGTTTCTACAATACAATTTGTTACTAGTTTGCAGACTGCTAAACAGCCATTATTAGAAGCCGGCTACTCAGTTACCATCCCTCAGTGCCTTCCTTTATCGCCTGGTGAAATACTTGGATGTACATCTCCTAAAGTAGGTTTTATACTAGTTCTTGTTTTGATGTTTAATTGTGTAAAACAATGTACAGTGTCTTAAATATTCGATCACGGTATTCAATGGTACATGTTTGTAACTATTAACACATTAACGTCCAATAAAATTTGATGAGAATATGCACTATCGAACATCATTTAAAGCCACTGATGTAGACAGAATACTCAGTAACCAAAAGAACTGGAACTGGGTTAGCTCTATATCAGTACCACTGAATATCTCCATCCAGTTACCTTTACGTATTTCTGTGCTTTCTTAAATATAGTTTAATTTACCATTTAAGTGTCAAGCGCTAAATGGTCTGATCTTCATGAACTCTCCATATATATATATATATATATATATATATATATATATATATCAGTCTGCTGCGTCATTTCAAAGTAAGGATTCGTTTAGCGAATCCGTGAAGTGATCTGATCATCTTAGCTGACAACCATCTCATCCTCTTGTCCCAACTGCATTATTCAGGAACACATGTTAAACCACATTACTCCTCACTTAATTGTTTTTTATTTAACATGTCAGCATTTAAAAGTCAATGGTGATCAAGCAATAATGATCTCTCCTTTTCAGTAGATGCGTCGTACAGTGGTTGAACATAGGTGAGCTTACAATTGTGTCAAGAGAAATGTCAGATCACTAATTCACGTTACTTTGTCTGCAGATTGGATGTCTGTTTAAATTATGTCGTGCATTTTACCAATTCACTTTATTTTTTACTAAGTGTGAGTGAAGATGCACTTTTTCTGAAATTATTGGAGATTCAGTGCATAGAATCATAAGAATGCTCCTGATCAGGGATCACAAGCCATCTGAATCGTTTTTATTACACTACAGTTTTGCATGAATAGGACTGTACATAAAACTTCAATATTTTTAAGTTACTAGTGATATTTCTTATCCTTTATGGATTTCTTTTGTTAGCGAATGTACGCTCACTATGTCAAACAGCTCGATAACAAAGTATAATTACGCGAGGTTTGCTTTTACTCTAAAACTTAGCAACACTATTCAGCTGTCTGAACCAAAGTTCGGGGAGACGGTATTCAAACTCGTGAACAGATGGTTGAATCACAGAGCGAAATATTCGCAAGAGTTTATCTCATCACTGTTTTTGTTTGCTTTTTAAAACTTTTAATCGCTGTTCCGATCATATCTGTATGTTTTCTTCCTAAACAGGTAGAAGGTGTTGACGCCTTAATCTACGTGGGTGATGGTCGCTTTCATCTTGAATCTATTATGATATCTAATCCATTGTTAGCTGCTTATCGTTATGATCCCTACAATAAGTCATTTACGCGTGAATACTATGATCATAAAGAAATGCGTAAACATAGAAAAAAAGCTGTTGATACCGCAAGAAATGCTGTGAATTTTGGGATAATATTGGGTAAGTAAAGTACAACTTATGCCTTTATTATCATTTTGGTTATATAACTTTGTGCTGTATTTACTTGATAATTTTCCTTTACAACTATATTCTGCCGAGTTGATCGCTCCAGAGGTAACAAACTTTGACCTACTGGTTAGACAAAAAATACCACGAAACCTGGAGAGCTTATGTTTGATCTTTTATGAAGTGTACGTACACCTCTTTAATATTTATTTTATTAAGGCAACGATCCCGTGTTTACTAGTTCTCACTGTTTCTTTAGTTGGAACTAGACTGTGAAGAAAATTACTCCCAAATCAATCAAACCTTCACTAACCATTTACTCATAGAATTTTCATAAATACCATTTTCTTTCCAAATAAATTGCTTTTCTCTAACCTTACTAGCATCCAACTGAGAAACTGTTTTCGTACTACTTTTCCTCTTATTGTAATATAGGTACACTTGGAAAACAAGGGTCACCAACTGTTGTGAAACAACTTCAGACAGAATTGGAGAAATCAGGAAAGACTTACATTATACTATTGCTGTCTGAAATAATTCCAAGTAAATTAGCGCTTTTCGATGAACAAGTAGACGTCTGGATTCAGGTATCCTTAACTTTTCGGTTTTAGGCTTTAATTCATATATGCGTATGACAATTTTTAAGCGTTAAAATGACTTGATTTCATGGTTGAAATACTCTTAATGGGCTTGGAAATTAGAAACGCGATTTACTATAACCACTTAAGATGTATTCCAATAATAAATTGTCTGGTTCGTGCTAAACTTCTTCAGCTTTGTCAATGGGCGACATAATATGTTCGATGTCTTGTAAGCCACTCCATTTGATTATGGACGTTTCGTCATCAGAATTAACTTCGTTGTGAACTCGTTATTTCAATCTACAAATACACTTGCTGAAAGAACCTCAACTCAATCACTCAGAATAGTCGACTGCTATAAAGACAAAGTCGACAGTAAATGACTTAATGGATCGATGTTACAATTGATCTAGCCCATCCATACGTTATTTAGACCTGCTCCTCTCCTATCCAGCTTAGCACTTCGGTGGCTGGACATACGTAGCAAATGTTATAAACGGTCAAGTCAACAAAGATTCACAGTCTGATCAGTTGACTTGCTATTTCAACTTTAAACATTATGCTTACATTCAATATGTGGTTCTACCACACCCAGACAGTAATTTGAAGAAATACACCTGTCCTCAACCTTCGGTGGCTGTTTTTTACAGACAAGAACATAAAGCCAACTGCTGTGCAGTATACTTCTCGTTTGTTTTTTAAAAAAACATCCACAGGCGCGGGAGGTGGAATATGTTACTCGTTATTCACTACCCTTTCGGAATTTCCAAGGTAAATGAAGGTGCCGTCATGGATCAGTAATTAATTTACTCTGTATGGTCCGAAAATATATTGATTCAAATCAGTCCTTAAGCAATATTTTGAACATGAAGGAGAAGAAATGTATCCCAACCATCCTTCCATCATCACTTCAAGCTTTTAGAAAACTGAACTTTTCCAGCACACTCATCGAATACAACAATGTCGTTTGCATACTCCAAGTCAATAAGGTGTAGATTTTACACACCCTTGTTGATCGTATAACATTTTACTTTTATTGCATATATTTGTCGACTTAAAAGAGCTACTTCGTTATTTTTTTTTGCTCCAAAGGTTGCATGTCCTCGTCTTAGTATTGACTGGGGTGTTGAGTTTACTAAACCTTTACTCACACCATACGAAGCATTTGTTGCTTTAAATGAGCAAGTTTTTTGGCCTAGAGATTTATCCGAAGCTTATCCTATGGATTATTATGCTAACCAAAGTTTGGGACATTGGACACCAAATCACAGGTTGAATAAATTGAGTGCACCAAAAACCGTTAACTAAAATGATATATTACTTGTAAAAATGACTGCTGTAAATATAGTCAGTCAGTCAGCTACAACGTAGAACCATGCACTTATGTGCATCGGTCCAGGTTGCCATACCGCATCAGCACAACAAGATGAAGATGCTGTAAATATAACTTACTATACTAAAGCGTATTTTTTTAAAAGTAATTTTACTTTGATTTTTTGAGTTAATCATGTATGTAGTAGTATAAATCAAATGTTTTATCTACATTATGGTCAAATAACTTGACCAGATTTATTCACCGTGACTGACAAACGACAAGTTATTCAAGCGATAATATATGTGATTACCCGATTATTAAAACAACTCAAAACACGATTCGATAGAAGATGAGAGATAACTAACAGCAAACCAACACCTCCCCACTTGTGTTTGTTGATTCTTGTCTAGTTGACTGGGTTGTCAGTTGTAAACGGGTTTTTTATTAGTCTTGTCAATCATCACCGAGGTTGACCGTTAGAGCGTAGACGTATCGTCAACGTCCGTAAATGAGTTTTCGGAGTCAGTTCACTCACTATTCCTATTATGTTTACATATGCAGTGCTCTTACACTTCGTACAAAAATGTACAACTTTACTGAGTAAAATCAAACCTTGCCAGTCATTTTATAATTATTAAGTTAGAAACTGTTTTTGACCTAACCTTATCAGATGGCTCCACTGTGTTTCTGTATATCGTCATTCTATCACTGGCTCGTTCTAGACAGAATTACAAAGCGATCGTGAGAAATAAAAGCTCCAATGGATGTGAGAGAATTTATTTAATTATCTAATAGAGTAGTGATTAAAAATTATTAGTGATCTTGTTGAAAAAATTTCGAAGTTATTAGTACAGCTCAGATTTTATTGACATTTAAGAAGTAAATCAGATGAAGGTATCAAATAACGTAGTGGCTACAACGTCTACACCAAACGTCAAGTGAAAACTAACTCCCATATTGAGCTACTTCCAATTATGTCTAATAGTTTACAAGTATATGCCAAAGGACAAAAAGGAGAGTTACTGTTTGCGTCTCCGAATACGTTGCATAAAGAGAAACAAATTTTTAGTAGTGCGATCGTTTGCCTAGTGATGACGTTAGTCTCCGGAAATCTTTCGCAATAATAAGCAAACGAATTTGAGTTTACTGCGTCCTTTTGAAGCCAATGTTATCAGAATATCCAAGCTAAACCTACCTACACAAGAGAAAAATGTTGTTAATTTTGCTTTGCCTTGGTAACGTCAATTGCAAGAGTTAATTGTGCAACACCTTTCTCCATGCTTTTTAATTATTTCTTGCTTTTTTCCTGAGCTCCACCTAATTAATCAACCCTTTATGTATTGACTCTTATACAACTTATGACATATACCTCACATTTTAACAGTTGTCTCCATGCTCTTACTTTCTCAGAGAATAATTACAATTAGTCTACAACTAGATAACGATATGAGCGGATCTTAAACCCATCCACAATTATTGCCTTTTAACTAGTCTATATGCATACCAGCCCTATATTTAGTCAACGATTTCCCGATACTAAGTCATCAATAGCATAGAAGCTAGTATAAATGTGCCTGACCATGTTGTCATGCCGCACTAGCACGACGAGATGAAACTAAAAATGATGGGTGATGAAATGTAGCGGTAGTAGTAGTAATGACAAAAAAATATAACTAAGGATTGACAATAGGATTTTGAGGGACATAATGGGGTGTTTATGGAGTGCTGGAATCCGAAATCTCGAGTACGTATACATGATTTTTCAATAATTCACGTGATTTGCAAGCAGCGCCTTTAATTTTATTGTCTGATAAGGAGAACCAGTGTATCGATTTCAGTACCATTCTAAACGAGAAGCTAAGTGTAGAGCCAAATATGGCTATTTATGCAGTACAACATGCTTTGCTGGAATGTAAGAGCACAACGAAATCTCCACTATTTGGAAGTGTTCCTGTACTTTGTGTGCGATTTCAGGCGAAGACCATAATCTCCAGAGTAACAAGTAATATTTACCATGGCTTGATTAAAGAATAATTCATCTTAAATCCGAGTCAAATATATTATAATATATTGATACTGAAGGGTGAAAAAGTTTCAGATATCAGACACGCGGAGATTTTTGACGTAGCGAATGTGCAAGTATCTATCCTACATAGAGCAAAAGTTAATGGTCATCTACAAGTGAGATTTTTATTAAGATTATAAACCAAACAATGTTGGACAGTCATTGCAAACCGGTTTCGCAAGATCGCTTGACTTCTAGGTTTTCATCATAGACCCAACACTGACCGGTTCATGATTTCAATAAAAACTCAACGATTCACACAACCCTATGCTGATAAAGTTTAAATATATGACTGTCAACAGATAAAGAAAATAAACTAAGCCAACAACCAAGTAGCAGCGGGTTATAGACATATTAATAGCTAAATTTTTCCCATATATACCCACGGCGGAAATGGAGTATGGATTTTTAGACCCCAAATAAGTGTCGCCTCATCCTAGGTAATTTCAAGCAGTTAAGCTATCCTACAGCCCAACACAAGTAAGGTAATAAACTTTGGGTGTCAAATTGGTCGACCGCCACACCAAATAGAAAATACGAACCAGATAGGATGAGAATCGTAAAGAGATCATTAAAACATCATACTTGACGGATTTGAATATAAGCATGTGCAGCATCTGGTCTAACGTTCTGTAACGTTAACCGAGTGATTATTAACGATGCGCATTTGTCCGTTATTCGTTGTGATTAAATATGTAGACAAAGTAATGAATTCGATCACACACGGCGAAATAACCCCAGTCAGCTACAACGTAGGATCAGGCACATATGTGCATCGGTTCGAGTTGCTATACCTCATTAGCACAAGATGAACACCGGACTCATAGAAGTTGTTAATTCAATGGTGGTAATATATAAAAGAAAGATTGCATATAAGGACATAGTACATGAAGAAAGAACTAGTTGGTAGAAAGAAAGGTGTGAAGCGATTTTAATCTCATAGCTTAAGGGGAGACAAAAAGTATACACTGACACCATTGTGATATATTCTGAGCCATGTCACAAAGAGTCTCCAACCATTGGTTACGATAGACACGCGGACCCCAACCGAGTAGTCTGCATTTACCAACATGACAACAGACCAGAAGTTAGTGACTTCAAGCGCTGATGCCGCATTTTGGTTTGGCCGCCCCTAATTTTCTTCCAACCTCACGTACAAATTAACGGTGAAGACTTAGTGAACTAAATATGAGTTGCTGTTATGAGCGTAATAGTATTTGTATTAGCTTATAATCACTGGTGAAAGTACAAATGCATACAAAGAATACGTTTTCTACTTGGGTTCTATGTGAGTAAGATGGGGAACTGCTGCTGAGAATCCGGCCAGGCCAGAACCACCACCTGCAGCCCTAGGGCCAAGCATCATTGCACGCTGTTGTACTGCCTCTTGCTCTTCAGTTTGAACTCGTTCTAGCTCCAGAATAAGTGGGAGGAAACATACAGTAGCTGTGCTCACCAAAAACCAAGTCACCGATCTGCTGAGAGAATAACCCGATACAACGCCTTCTGAAGCTGCACTGTAGACAAAAGAAACGCCGCGACGTACTGGCTCTGGAAACATTTCTAAGAGACCAATTAAGCGTTCTATGATGCTTTCATCTTCGATATCAAAATCCTCGTCATCACAAACATTCTTCTCCCCCATATCTTTGGAACATTCGTTGGTTTCAGCAAGTGCCTTTGAAGTGCTCTTATTCTTTTCTCTGGAAAGGTGTCGAACAGCAGCTGGTGATATGGGTTTTGTGTCTGTATCGCTATTAGTCAAGTCAATAACTTCGGTCGGATAAGTGGAAGATGAAATCATGAAGTCTTCAAATGCGTCCTAAGAAAGTATAATTATACTTTCTATTTCAAAAGGAACTACTCAAGTATCCCTTTAAGTATTACCTGAATATCCATTGCATGTGATCAGAAGTAGCGCACGAAAGTAATCTAAGCGGTTAAACTTCCCACCTTACATGCCACAAATGGCCAACGTTTCGTTCCTTGGACTTTGTCTGAATTAATCTTTCTTATGGATCTGGAGGGCGGGGAATCAGTTAATAGTGCGAAAAATGATTGAAGAGTAACGTTTAGACCAATGTACACCAGTTTGGACGAAAATTTAAGATTATTTAAACCCCTAGACTGTAGTAAAGAATCACAGTGCTTGGATACAAGGATGCCAATTATTATTACTTGTTTATGGTTACCATCACTTTTATAAGGTTGTTAGTAGTGTAGCGATAAATAAATTCCCGAAATAAGTTGTTCTCTAATTCTTCAACATTTGGTGCTGACTTCATTGGTTTAAGTGAACACTTCTAGCTGATGGTGCCCGGTGACGCATCCGCACCAGATCCGGAGCGAGTACACTGTACTATGTGTAAAGCCAGTGAAGTGTCACTGGGACCTGGTCAGATCGTTCGACATTCAGGTCACTAAATATCGGACGGTTCACCTGTCTTCATCAAGTTCGAGGAAAACCAACGCGAATCAATTCATAACACACCATGGACCTGCCCATGTGGTGGTCACACTATCTTCCTTGTACTCAATCTTACTAATATATTTCTGTAATAACGCCTCTGCGTTATACGGCCTTCAAAGCAGCTATAGTAGCTATAGTATAGGTGCTGACCACGAGATGTGACTTTGAAGTTACCTGGCTCTCCACACCACTCCCGTCTAACTCGAATAGGCGCTTAATCGTTTAACACAGATCATCTGCGTTAGTGATTTACATATCTTACATATCACTTGCAACTACTAGCCGGTTTAGACTAGACGCTCGTCGATATATTGATGACCTTCTGGGTACGTCTTTGGATCGCTTCATTTCTGACTTCTGATTCGACTGGTTTGTTAAACTTCTATCATATAAGCGTTAAGCGTAAGGGTGTTGTCAAAATCTGAATAACCGTGTCATCTTTAGTTGACTCAATTTTTGAATAATTGCCAAATTTTTTTTGTAACGGGGATTTTCTGGTAAAACGTGAAACTTCAATCATATAAACCTGAGCCACCGAGGAAGTTGCCACAGATAGGTAACATCAACATCACCGATTATCTCCATCCCGCTAGACCATTAGGGACGGTACGTGAACAACATGTTCTGCCCGAAGAACATTCTTGGACTGAAGTTATCCCCCACCGTCATATTTGCTGGTCAGGAACTACACCCACCTTCCCTTCATGATGTAAAGCTCTCTTATGCTTGTGATATTTTCTAAAACTGCTTTAAGCCGAACTATGTGCTACACAACCTGTTAAAATACATTGTCTCTAAAGTTCCCATGTTACGAGCGAATCAGAAGAATGAAGCTTTTGTTTTTGGGTTAGATATCCATTTCGTATATCACACTGCCATGAACTTAACTAATGGTATGGACTATCAGATACTTTTGATATATGTATAGTTTGGAGATGATCATGATAGAAAGCTGATTATATAATATTAAAGAGTTTTTGGTTTACAATATCTATGGGTAACTCATTAAATAAGTAAAATAAACAAAACACTTGAATGCTGATAAATTTGGGATATGTAAACACTTAAATTAGTAAAACATAATTTAGAAGAGATATTATGGGTGTCGTATAGTAGGTCATCGTAGATCAACACCCATATGTTAAGTAAGTTTTCTGTTTACTCGGAAAGTAAATGAAAAAGAAACAGATCTTTTCGACGAAAAATGATACAACCCAAAACAAGACTGAATCATTGTGTAGAACTTAATGATATAATTATGACGCACCTGTGATACCCCAATGAGAAGAAATTGTATTTCTGACGTTTGATGATTTAATGCAAGTCACTTCTTCAGGGTTAGCAAATATGTGAAATAAAAATAACTCATCTTAAAGTAGTACGGAGGAAATGATATGGAAGATTTTTAAATAAACCGTAATCATTATATGTCTGAAAATGTCAATATCGAGGTGATTCTGTTTCATACATGACTTAATTGGTTTGTGCGTATGAAAGTGGTTATGAAAGCTATCTATTTTTGTGGTTTCAGATGATGAGCTATCGAATATTCATAAGCCTGACATTCCTTTAGAAGCTATAATGAGCTTCACAAACGCTTCCTCATATGCTTTATTTGAATGTCTACGCAGTATACTGAAGTGTTGTGAAGTGCAAATGATAATCGAGAATCAACTTTATATTCTTCGGGAATATCTAAGGTGTTAATGACGGCTCATGAGGAAGTCACACGTACATATGTATTCATTGTGGCATATCTCAAGGGAGATGAATGAGAGGGGAAGAAGAAGAAAGGACGAGAAGCAGATTAGACAATGACCATGCCTACTGAAGTTGAGTCATATGTAGAGGAATAGTTAGGGTATAACTACTTATTATTAAAATACACATTAAGCAAGAGAACTATAATAAATTAAGGAAAATAAGCGTCTTAAAAGAACCTGAAATTATACTATTATGTGTGGTTTTAAAATGTCGTACTGAAAACAGTATCCTGATAAAAATAGCTATCTCCGTTTCACGTCGAAGCTATTTCAGTTCATTTTAACTTTTATTGATTTTTTAGGGTGATGAGCAGACTTCGTTTTTAGCGAATGGCTTTGTTATTTGTTAAACCTGAAGAAGTAACTTGTGTTAATCCACGAAACGTCAGAAATCCTATTTTTACGCGTTGAGGTGTTGCAGAAATATATTTGTAATTGAAATTCTCTCTAATGGTCAGTGTCATTGATACCTAGACTGTTCTATAATTTAGATGTAAATATGTGATGGGTGGTGAGAATGTGATATATTTTCGGTCGGCAAACAGTATATTTGGAAAAGCTAAAATGTTAGACGGTCTGTATGAATGTATCTCTGGTTCAAATAGGTGTTCCAGGAAGTTGACGAGGCTGTTTACAATAAGACAAAAAGTCTACAGGTCTTCTGAGTTTTCATAGAGTGCAATAATAAGGGACGAATAATGACAGCATCTTCTATAATAAAATATATAATATATTGTATAACAGATGTTTAAAATGACTGTTCTCTCTCACATATATTACGATTATACGTTAATACGTTAGTGAGACTAATCACGTTATAGGACAGCAGTGTGATATATCAAAGTGACGTCTTACCGACAATGGAATTGCTTTAACTATATGATTTGCTTGCAACATGGAACTAGTAGAGACGGTGTATCCCAACTATGGACTTTGATTAAGGCAATATTTACACTTATCACAAACGTAAGAGAGCCTAACATCTTAAAAGGAGGGAAAGTGGCGTTACTGACCAGCAAACATGATGGTAATGAGATAACTTCAATCCACAAATGTCTGTGGAGTAGGACATTTCGTTTAGTTTCGGCTCCTTATAATCTAGTGGAATGGAACCAGTGGTATTGATGCCGATTTATTATGCAAAATACCTCATTAAATGGTGTCTAGAATGCTGAGTAGGTTCCACTTCCTACCGAGTAAACCTATCAAAAACAAAACAGGTAATTAGCTATAAACGAAGCCTGATCAACACCTTATAAAATTGTTGTGCCGTAAAAAAACGCTGATCACTTATACTCGAAACGAGGGACCTCGGCAATTCCCGCGATGCGAAAGTAAGAACACAAGACTGGTATAAGTGAAGATTTATTAGCCCCAAAACACGACGATGACGATGTTCAAAATAGTCTGAAATACACTGGTTTGCATATTGATTTTACATTCATTTTTGATTAATAATTAGAATAAGATCACATATATGAGAAATAATTAGAGTTATAACAATTACAGACTGATTATAGTTCATGTCAACGGAATACAAGAACATCGTATATTATACAGAAAAACATATTATACGACAAAATAAAACAAATATTACCGTGAATTATCATCACATTGAATTAGAATGGATGTAATGTTGAATAAAACTCATGATAAGTAAATCAATCGAAAATTGATTTTTCTTTCCATCATATCAAAAATCTACAAAAATGGGCTGAAACAGCTTCGACATAAACGGGCTTCAGTCATCTGTGTATCAGAATACTATTTTCAGCACTATATTTTATAACTACACATAATCCTATACTCTGAGCCTCTTACTGAACCACCTCCATTGGCTAACTGTCTATCCACTCATAACTTGTTTACACTTATTCTCTTTAAAATATTAGGATGCTCTTGCTCAATAAGTTTTAAAATCAGACTGAATGGTCATACATTAACCATTACTCCATGAACATTGTTGTGATAATTAGAAGTATTTGAATAATAGTACAAACTGGGAGTCCCAGGAATAATGCAAGTTAGCCACGAAGTACTGGTTAAATATGAACGAATCTACCGTATTTGGAGTTCGAAATCATATATTCAACAAGCACAAACGAGTCACTAGTTCATTCATACACCACAATAGTCTATTTTGCTTTTCATTCTTTTTTTCTTACACCTTTTTTCAGCCCCCTCGGAATATGCCACCGAAAACATATATGGAACCGGTGACTTTGTCCTGAACCAACATTAAAGCTCCAGATATTCCAGAGTGGTGTAAAGTTGCGGATTCTGGAAGTCCCGAACTTCATATGGATCTATTCTCGAGCATCAGCTGCACGTCACAACGCAACCTCTATAAAGCTCACCAACTGTGATATCGGCAATACGAGTCCTGCTAAAACCATCTACATTTATATCTTATAAAATATATGCCCTACTGAGTAGTCTGCTACAGTGAAAATTTTATCTTTTGTAACAGTTTGATCTTGCCTGTAAAATGGTATGCCTCACGTAACTAACCGTTATGTTAGAATAAATTATTATCAATAATAGAGAGCGAACGATGGTGTACGCTGAAATATCCAACTCCATGGTATGGCTCAGCTTTGCAAGCATGTTCATTATGTATAACTAGTCTCTATTCACATTGAATACATTATTCTCTTTTTTTCAGTTTAAATAGGTTCTTCAGAAATGTTAGACGTTATATTGCTGATTTTTACGATATGAAGAGTCACTGTAGACAGTGATGGAACTTCCACTTAAGATCTCATACGTTAGGTAGAAAAATCATGACAAATCTACGATTCAGGATTAGGTCTATTATTATAGCAATGCTAATACCAAACTGAATCGTAATTCCACAAATCCACTTCGAAGACTAACAATTCAACTTATAACATCCATATATTTGCATATATCACCGTTCACCAACATGCAGCTCTTGCCAAGGGCTTCATTTTTTCAACACTTTGATGTCTACTACGAAGATCTTCAATGACAGATTTGCATTACGAAGCAGGAATAGCAACAAATCATTCAAACACAAAATACCTTCAGGAGTAGTGGATAATTCAGCTCGATTCGAAAATTGGACAGAAAATTTAATTTTAAAATTAGCACCCCAACCTTTTCTCATGGTGCTGGGTGTCCAAAGTGTCGAAGAGATTCTCCGATGAGATCTATACGTCTCACCGGTAAAAGTTGCACTAACCAACTGTGTGCAGCACCATTATATTTATAATGAAACGATTATCGAGATATTATTATTATTACTGTTACTCAAAAAAACCTTATGGGTACATAAGCGTTATGAAGAAATCATTTCGGGTTTCTTCAAAAATTCAATAATACACAAGTTTCAATAATGTTAGCAATAAAGTCGCCATATGAAATTTTAATGTCCTGGTCATCTTGTCGCATCAGTTTACGAAACTTTGATATTTCTGCATTCAAAGCTAGCAGACTGTAAATGACTAAATAGTAATTCCTTGGGAGATTCAAATGACAATGAAGTTTATTTCTGTGGTAAAGCCAGATTCTTGAGCAGGTTGTAAGCTTCTTTTCCGTACACGTCAGGGGATAAGCTATGAAGTTATCATCCTTAATGTACTTTTTAGTCATGCATCACATTTCCAACCTCTCCAGGTAGTAAACAAAGTCATCCTCACTTGAAATAATACTCAGTTGTCCAATATTTTACCCCACCACGACACCAGTACTATAAATCAAAGTATTTGAATTAGTGTGCTGACCAAGAATTTCCGAAATAGTACAAACAGAACTGGATGGACTCAATTGAACGTTTTGTATATATAATTCGAAATCGGCGAGTAACCAAGAAGAAGTCATTAGTTCTGTAGACCATCGTTGTTGATGATCTCTTTCGAATGACTGGGGGCCTACTGGGGTTAGACGGCAATGGTAAGTTCAACAGTTAACGTCGAAGTCACACCTCGCGGTTAGTACCTAACGTGTATTACCCCTTCGTCGTATCAAGGTATTATGGATGCTTTAAAGACCGTACAGCACAAATAACATTATTGTAAAAATATATGAGTTAAAATGGGCACAAGATATAGTGTGACTACCACTATGGCAACTTATTACATGGACAGAAACTCCAAACAGGTATCGAGACCATAATAGGCTTGTCATTTTACGAAGTGCCTTAACTAGAAAACATGACATACCAAGTGACTGATATCGAAAGCAAATCATCAGTTACTCTAGGATTTCAAGCACCTAAACTACTGAAACATGCATAGTGTATTTTTGCCAAGTTTAGAGTTCTATCTTCTAGTATCTTTTTATAGATCCTTAATAAATATCCCCAAATGAGCATAAGAACAACAAGCTTATTTCCGAATATATATCGTTAACTACGCATGGACTAATAATATCAGCGAAGCCCTCACTTTAATCTAACGGGTAACGGAAAAATCAACAAAACAATAAATTAAGACTGTATTGTTTTAACTAATCCATTTTAATTGCTGCTGTAACTACATCGTTTGCACAGTTTTGGATTGAATACATTGCACTGCAAAATTCAACTGAAAAATGGAAGATCCAGTAGCTAGAAAAGTAGAGGATAATAGAAGAGTTTATACATATCCACTGTTAAAGGTGAGTTTATCAACTGAATATAGAGAGCTTATATTAAAATACAAATCTCCTGATATTGAGGAAAGCACTCCAATCTCCCAAATTTAGGGGAAAAACCCTAAAGTCAAATGAAATTTCACCTGGTCTGAGAGAGCTTCCTAAAATTATGGCTTTTTGCAATATCTATGTACTCTCATTTTCACAAAATTTTTGAGATATTCTTTTCAAAATCTGGAGGTTGGGTCTAAAGGCATATAAACAAAACAAAACAGAAAGTCGTATCAGTAGTTCAGTATTCTGGACCCATAAAAAATATACAGATTTTTTCTCAGAAAGACCTTATAACTGAACAATCCACCTTGAATATTAGAAAAACATTCAATAATGAACTACTTCACAGCGACAGGATATTTATAGACAGTCCATTTTTAAAGAAAACGATTTGTTCCTACATATCAAATGAGAAAAGTTTAAAATACCAAAAGTTAAGCAAAAACGCACATGACAGTTTAAAGTGTACTTCGCAGTTAATAATTCATGAGTGAATCGAGTTGATTTTCTTAGACATAGCTTATGATTTTAGGGCAAAACGATTGTCTTTAGATGAAACCGTCAGATTAAAAATCGCAGGTTTTGAATTTTAGCGCCAAATCTATCTATGTATATGTCTAAGTAACATTCTTGCACTATTACTGATGTCACTTCATGATAAAGATCCCGACCTCTAGTTCCTAACCCTCACGTCCGACTGTAATTTCCAATCTTAATTCCTCATGCTAATTTATAACACTCATATGACTCTAGTAAGTAGGTGAACATTCGCTAAGTCGATCAATGGTTTACTTAATACAGTCTTATCGATTTTAAATTGCTAGAGGAATTAGGGCACCTGAAGTTCTCTCCATTAACTACAATTGTGGTAGAGAATTACTTAGATTGTTGCACAGTTTCCATTAAACACATTCCAGGGTTTTAAGTTAGCTGGTTTTAACCTGATAACCTTTAAAGTTATCACATAATCGTGAAGTACTTACCTCTTGTTTTGAGAGTGGTTGTCTCGCAAAAGCTACAAAGCGTTATCGGTAGGTACAAGTATTTCGTAAGGTAATCACGTAAATTATCATAGACTAAGAATCCCGGCATTTTTTCGAGTCACCCAAATTTACTTCGAAAATTAGAGTGAAGCTAACCGACGTTCGCTTATTTGTGACTGTTTTTAAACCTAAACACACGGACATAAAAAATAAACTTTCGTTGCATATCTTAGTATCGTATTGTTACGAAGCAAGATTTTAAGCAACATATACGTTGTTAACTTCTAAGTTACTGTATATTTCATATTACTCTATAATTTCTATCGTAATACTTCAGAGATTTGTGAAAAGGTTGTTCTATATTTCATAGGTCTTCCTTGAAATATTTTAGTAGTATTATTGGTGCGTCTTTTGATTTTATTATGAACGTAGTTTCAGAAAAGCATTTAAAACCTTTTAAGCAAGTCTTATTTTACTAAATAAAAACCATTCATTTTACCTATAAATTTCACACTGTCTATCGTTCAATAAAATAGTAAGATAGTTTGGTGAGATCTACTATTGAAAAGAGAAATCCCCCCACAAGTGATTTAATTAGTACAAATATTGTACGATGAGCAAGTTATCAGAGAACTAACCGAATAATTTTGTTATTAAAAGTACGTGCATATCAATAATTCCCTTAAATGTTTTGATTATTTTTGGTTTTTATCACACACCTAAGTATATATATATATATCTTAGAACGTGGATGAAGAAAACGAGGAACATTTTAACGTTCTGTTCTTATAAATATTTACTGCATTAAACACATTATCTAATAGAGCTATTATTTTTTTAGCATTATATCAACAAGCTTTGAGTATAATGAGTGTTGCAAATATGTGCCTGGTCTTACGTTGTAGTTGACTGACTGACAGATTGCTTCAGCATTTATTATGAGAAGCGGTGGATGACAAAAATGGAATGGTTGGAGAAGACACCAAAAATAACTTTAAATCACTGTTAGGGCTCACCTCAGAGACTTGGTTGACGAATAATCCTCTATCGTGGTAGAACTGGTGCTTTTGGAGGACAGCTCAATGAGTCTTTTGATACCCTCATCGCCCAGTATAACCCAATCCTTAATGAAAAATTGGGACGAGCCCCCGATTTTGATGAGGCATGAATAACTGGAAGAGAAAGGCAGCTCAAGAACACTAACAGTTTATTCATAAGACTTTAAAGATTAGTGGTTCACTGTTCCCATCAAAATCGATATAATATATGGTCTAGGATATGAATGTGTTTTCATCCGACCCCTTGTTATTGCTGGTCGAGGTAGTCTGTGTAACAGGAAGCAAACACTGTGAAAATCACAAAAGCATAAATTTAACCAACACAGTGTTGGACATATTAACCTACACGACCATCTAACTATTGAATAGAGCGCAGGAAAGTCAAACTCGGCTGGTGAATTTACAAAATAATTAACCTTGGATATGCTTCACGATAATGTTAAACATAGCAACCCACGAATCCGTCGACTAAATGATGTTCATTAAGGCTACCCACTTTCAAGGAATTTCGTAGCATTAGACAAAACTAGCGCTAGCTAAGCCCACAAACTACTTCTAATAGTTCTATCAACACTGTTTATTAGATGTATATGCAGTGTTCTGGCTGGTGAAATCATCTATGAATAAATTTGAGCCCTATTTATGAATATTGACCTTAAGAAGTAGATCAACATATCAGAATTTCGTTCTGTAACCAGTATAACAATACCTAAAACCCATTGACAAATTGTTTGATATGTAACTTTAGACTGCTTATAATTTTTTCTCCATCATTCCTTCTAGCATAGTGATATGAATGAAGATATGCAGACTGAAGTAATGGAACTATGTGTGACAGCATGTGAAAAATTCTCGACTGATAATGAAGTAAGTTACTTAAAAATACAGTTCACCCCCCTAACAAAATCTTGATGCTTTTATTATATATATACATTTTAATTATTTCATTAATGCGTATAATATAATTATTCAACCCTCAGCGATCAAGTTTAAACAATAGGATGAAGGTGCGTCTACTCCCATCTAATATTCGTAGCTTAACAAAATCCGAGAAACGTTCTTAAATCTTTGGTTGCGATACAGTGGTTTTCTTGACTTGACTCGCATAACATATGCCGCTATCTGTTTCAGATGAAATCGACGTGCAATGACACCTATCACTTTCTAACTTATAATGACATCCACCAATAAATACGTAAAATGTCATAGTATATCCCATCAGATAACCGATAACTTCAGTTACAACTTACTTGTATAATTAATGAAGTGCTACTATTATTATATATAATATGGGATGTTTTTCTAGACTATTAGAACCCTAAGTCTAACTGGTAATAAAATTTATATTTTCTAGTAAACGAAACGGTTCACAAGACTGAGCTTTACTGAACGAAGAACATAGATTTTACCATAGATAAACCTCGATAATGCAATGAGAAGACGAAGATTATCAGAACTATGTGATATATTAGCGCAATACATTTCGAACAATCTGATCACACATATACTTGTTAAGAGCATTTATATATAAAAATAAAAGGTCAACTAGACAGGAAATGGGGTAAGAGGAGATAAGGATAATGATAAGAGTAATAATAATAATGTGAACACAAAGCGTAACCTAATCACTCTGGATAATAAGTCAATATTACCAGGGTAGGTTTAAGGTAAGAACAATGACGCCATTGATGATGATGTTAAGTTGTTAAATAAAACGTTAATAGAAAATGGCTATCCTCTGAAATTCATAAATAGATGGAAAGTCCATGGTACAGCGAGACCTACTGTAGCCTCGGTAGAGAAAAAGCCTGTCTACATCACCTTACCATTCAGAGGTGATTCAAATAGCCTTTTACTGAAACAACGTCTTAAATCAGTCATCAATAAAACCTATTGCGCAGCAAAGGTCATCATCAAAGAAAGAACAAGGTGCATGCTTCATTCAAAACCTAAAGTACATGGAAACGATTACGTCACATCCCACTGTGTTTACCAATTTAAATGTGTGTGTGGTCACACATACATAGGGAGGAGTAATCGTGATCTCAACATTAGGGTGAGTGAACATGTACCCAAATGGCTTCAGAAACAAATACAATCAAGTGACCCAATAAGAGCAGAGGATAAACATCCATCATCCTCTATTGCTAAACATATAATTGAAACAGGTCACAAGATTGATCTAAATTCAGCTTTTGTAGTGCTGTATAAAAGTGTAAAAGGGCGTATACTAAGGTTCATGGAAGCCTTAGCCATACGAAAATTCAAACCCCCTTTATGTGTTCAAAAACAGTTTGTTCTTACCTTAAACCTACCCTGGTAATATTGACTTATTATCCAGAGTGATTAGGTTACGCTTTGTGTTCACATTATTATTATTACTCTTATCATTATCCTTATCTCCTCTTACCCCATTTCCTGTCTAGTTGACCTTTTATTTTTATATATAAATGCTCTTAACAAGTATATGTGTGATCAGATTGTTCGAAATGTATTGCGCTAATATATCACATAGTTCTGATAATCTTCGTCTTCTCATTGCATTATCGAAATTTATCAAAGGGACTAATTGTTTTAAATAGATAAACCTGTTACTGTGGTCTATCTTTTAAGCTCTTCGATTCCCAACATCGTTTTGTTCCTTCCAGACCAAGAGTTTTAGATCGAAGTATAAGTAAAATTTTTCATTTTGCCATAGTATTACTAAACAAACATGATATGTTGAAACAAGAAGGTAGAAGAGTTCTAAAACAGATTTGATTTATAGCACTTAAAAAATTGAGTGAGCTAACCTCAAAAATTTAAATATTTTAAATTTATTTACTACTTTTCATTACAATGTTTATACACTTATTTAACTCCTACCTTCATCCACTTAATTATTAAGGCAGCAGCTCGTTTTGTAAAAGAAACTATGGATAAAAAGTACGGAGCAGCATGGCATGTAGCTGTTGGTGAAGGTTTTGGTTTTGAAATTACCTATGATATTAAAAACATTTTATACATGCTATGTGGTGGAAATTTAGGCATAATTGTCTGGAAATGCTGTTGATAATAATTACAGGATGTAAATATTTCAAAAAGGAATAAGAATACGTGCACACTATTTAAAATGTATATTTTAATAGTAATCTATATTTTGGCAAGCTTTTCGTCATATTTTACTCTGCTATGTTGAAGTTCCCGAGTCCAAAAAGATAGAAGCAAATAAATGTATTGACTATCATAAATGTCACTGGATTCCAATCACTTTTTTAATATACTATATTTTCCAATTAACAGAAAATCTCTTATGAACTAAAACATCCAAAATACTTCAATCATTTTTACCAATATGTATATACTTAGATTTGTAATATACCTTTTTAAAATATATCTAAGTTTGTAACTAAAAAGAACATTTGAAACAAGAAAAGAAACCCATTAGTGTTATAACAAGAAATGGTTCAGTGAAAAAAGAATCCCTTTTAATTTTATTTACTTAATGTCTACAATTGTTTATAACTAATTTTACATACGATAACCTATAATAAAACAGGGATAATAGCGTAATTTAACAAATTCATTTAAACCGGACATTTTCAAATTATCGGATATATTACATAATAATAAGTGTTGCACCACTTGCCAAAGTTATCGATGGCTGGAAAGTTGTAGATATTAAGTCAAGAAGGCCCGTGAGGCAGTCCTAGCAAATGGTTAGGGATTTTGAGTGACATGTCGCATCGGCACACTCATTTAATCCACAGTTTTCCCAAGCTTCTATATCACTTTTTTCTTGAATAGTATTTCTGATGCCTAGCCTATTCTATTACTATTACCACCTCTACGATTCTGGGATTTGATTTGACAATTTGATCTCACTGTCCTAATGATGTGTGGAAACTTGAATCGATGTACACGTAAGCCAGGTCATCAGTTGCGTATAACTGACTGAAACATAATTTGCAGAAAAGATATAAAAGACTATCGTCCACTTAACGAGAATAAAGGATGAGTGGCCAATAATACTGATTCTGCAAAAGTAAGTACGATTTCGCAGATAAGGTAAATGATGCCGTCGAAAAGAAAGTTCTCTTCACTGGAAAGTCTTCACTTAGCTTAATAACATTTATATTTCCTGATGTCTTTCTAAGAAAGAAAATAACAACCGAACCCGCTTGTATTTATTTAAATATAATCTGAAATAGTAGACCGTATTTGAAACTGAGTAACCTTGGTAAGAACAAACCAGTACCAACCAATCTACAGTTGTCTTGACCTCCATTTCGATGTCAGATATAACCTATAAGTTAAAATGTTTTGACAATAGCGTAACGTTACTCATTTTAGTTGAATCTATTGGTACCACATACATTTTAGCACAACTGTGCATAAAAGTGACAGATATCATTATGATTTGTATCAGCTGGAATATTGTTGGAAACATAAGAGCACCGATGAGTTGTTTTCGTGTAGTTTGTGACTCATCTCGACAGTATATACTGTTATATCCTAGTGAAGATCAACCTACAAATAATTCCTGAGACCTGTTAATGGACTGATATTATATATATTCTTATTGCATAGCTATTCAGTAACTGGATTATGTATATCTATCTTCCTCTTATTATAAGCTTTATTTTGACCTATAGACTATTATTATTACTGTTCTCAAGTTATGTTCAGATTATTAATTATCGTCTGCCAAAGTTACAGCCACTTTTGGCTTGTTCATGTACAAATGTTATTTTCTATTTTATGGTATGATGTGATCCGTTTGGCTTGTATATAAATTAGGTATGTTTGAAATAAATGATTCGTATAGTGAGAGCAGGTATTGGTGTTCTGGACTCAACTGACAGGGTTAGGAGGACAAAGGACCAACAAAGACGCAGTGCTAGGATTAACTAAGTCGTATTTTGATTGAAGAATAAATCACGTGACAACTAGCCGAGTTTAGAGTCATAACACATACATTAAAACGAATGTTGTTAAATTTGAGAGTTCTACATCGCACTTGGACATAATATCATTTGGGAACTGACTCAAAAGAACAGGTTACACTTGTTGACCTTTCACAATATCTGAAAAAGTGACCATCAGTCAAGATTAGCAGTAATCATGTACCTGCAGATCAACCATAATTGACTAAATAGGTTGCAGCTTTCCCATATAACCTTGAAAAAGGCACTTGTACGATATCGACACAATACAGAACCGTTTGTAAAATACACCATCCCAAGTTTTCACATTATACAATCGCAAAAGCAACAAAGACAGAGAACAATCAAAGTAAACGATGGTATTAGTAGACGGAGAAAATGGATGTACAACAATACAACAGTCAAAATCTATCAGTAGATAAATATATAAATTTCACCAGTGATCAATTTTAAAGATTATCCCTCAGAGCCTTTTAAGTGGTAACTTTTAACCCGATGAATCTCACTACGGTCCATGCTGTCCAGTGTAACAACTAATGTTTTCACCGGTCTGCATTTACTAACTACTCATAATCTTTTACCAGTTTATTATGATAACATACAACTTCGGATATCGGGTTGGGAAGTGACTTGTTGAGTAAAATACACTTTTCAACCACGTCATTCCTTTTAGATTCTGAACTACATAGACTTATTTTGTCTACAGTTTTCATCCAAATACAACACCTGACTCGGTAGTTTCATTGTAAACAAGCGGTATTTTAGAAACACAAGGCAGATTTTTCATTCTTGACAGCCACAATCGTAAAATGATAAACTCGACTGCTGCATCGTGTGCTTACGGTTTAATAAACAGCCAGATGTTCTGCCAGTCTCATTTGCGAAGACGGTCAGTAAATGTACATCATTATGACTTTAAATGGTGATACGAATACGTAGCATATTTGTTTGGGAATCTCTTGAAAGTCAAATAACCCAGTAAGTCTCAAAGAAAAGTTACACACAACCTTTACGGTAAGTAAAAGAACGGTATATTATGCTTGCGTTCTGGCGAAAAGTAGATGGTTTGGTCGATGTATCTACTGGTTCACTGGCCATTAGTTGAATAACTACGAAAACTAAGGCCAGATGCTAGTTTAGTCGAACGAATTTCATTGAAAATGCGTTACAACATTACTTTATCCAGACCTTGGTTGGACAGTGGACAGCAGGAAATAGCACGAAACCAAATAAACTAATAACCGTGTTATGATAACAGTTAGATCAGTGATATATCCACTATCGTAAGCTTTCCGACGTGATGTTAATAAGTGATTTAGATATCCAACTCCAATTATCTTTAGCCTGATTTATTTACTTCAGTTCGATCAACTGGGTTATACGTTTTGTTCTGGCATAATAAGCCAAAATATGGATTTAAACACTGTTATTGGGTTTCAGAAACTAATCGGATTGCATGTGCCGCGTAGTCAAATCGACACAAACAATGAATTACTACCACCCGTCATAGATAACGTTACTAGACACAGTCTCCACAAACGATGGGCAAACCCGTTTTCGTTTTCTTGTTATCGTGCTTAAGTCTAACTACTACTTATCTTTCTGCACCAACCGTTCAAATCTAAACTACTGATGTCTTTTAGTGTCTACTAACCTTGTAATTTCTGTTACTGTTCCTATTTGTATCAGTATCATGTTCTGATAACAATAACATTAGTTCTTCCATAAATATAGAACTGAGACTCTCACCGTTGATGTAAGTTCAGATACCATTATGAAATATATATATATATATATATATATATATATATATATATATATATATATATATATATATATATATATATATATATATATATATATATATATATATATATATACCATAGGTAGTTTCAATTCCACTTAGTTTATCTTGATATTCAACCTTAAAAAGAGATATACAACAGATCAAATTACATGCTACTAAAATATGCCGGTGATCACGAGTTAAAAATCCCAATCAAATATCACCTCTTACTTCTACATGACGAACCTAACAGAGAAGTGCTAACACAAAAACAAACATCATTTCACATATGCAAACTGCAAAAGCTAAGTGATAAAGCAGTCGAAATTTCCACCAACACTTTATACAATAATAAAACCCAAAAATGAAATGTCGACAAATAATACTATACCGATTATAAGCCTTTAAGTGAGGATAGTATTTCGACTTGGTGTGCAGGAGTTGTGTACATGTGATAGTTTGTGAACATGAAAACTGGGGACCAACAGAATTGTGGCAGGAGGGGGTAAGTTGATAGCTTTAAAAAATATTCAACGTGAAAAATAAGTACAAATGAATTAGCCACGTGTCACTGAAGTAAGAGAGGATGACTTATGGTAGAAGCAGTAAGCATTTGTGTTTAGGCGTAAATTAACAGTTCTATGTGCGAAAAACAGGACAGCATTTCTACAATTTTTTTCGAATATGGAGGATACTGTAAATCTGTTGTAAAAGCAGGTTGGTGTGTGTTCTCTTCCATTAATTCAAAGTTCTCAGACAGTTTTGACTCATCACAGAAATTTGAATAGCTTCATAATACCATACTACTATGATTATTTTATAAACAGTTATTATTATTAATCCAAAGATTGATTATTTTATGACATGTAATGATACATTGGATCAATATCATCTCTGGTCGACTAGAAAAGAAAAAGTAAAACACATTTTTAAAATTAAAAGCTTGGATGTAAAACCGTAGGTTATGAAAAAAAGAATATATACACCCTGAAGGAAGACAAAAACTGCACAAAAAAGTATACGATTAAGGGGATAGTAATTTAAATTAAGGACTGATCTTAGTTTTAAAAACAAACACGAAGTACTGGATAGCTGCCTCGTCTTAGCAAAGGACTCCTCAGCAGTGCGCATTCACAACTCCACTGGAGATCGAACACAGAGTCTAAACGTCATGAGGCGAGCGACTATTCTTTAGATCACTGGGCTGGCGCCCGAGCCGTGAATGCGCACACGTGAGGAGTTTCATACTAGGGCACAGTAACTGCTCAGTGCTTTTTGGTTTTATAATTCAAAGCAATCCATAACTTAAACTATGAAACTTCACAATTTCTACAAAAGCCCTATAGTAATAAGATGAATAATAATTTGACAATTATTGATAGACAATTTCGGACTAGTAGTACTTAATGATCGAAATGAAACAATACAATGTTTATGTCAAATAATTATAAACATCACAGCATACATGTGTCTAGAGAAGTGGAATCAACTTCCGAATATAACTTTACCTGGGTGACTTTTAAATCGTATGGTTTAGAAAGGCAATGAGAGTGATATCAAAACATACAGTCAGTTAGGAGACAAAACTCCCTGTTATTCATTCGTTTCTGTAAAATTTGACATCCTTTTAGATCGTTTAACATACGTATTAAAATAAGTAACTTTCAAATGAAAATGCTGAACCGATATTAATTGAAATTAAGCAGTTTAATTAGACTTGAACAATTGAACAACCGTCAAGTTAAGAGTATGAACTGTATATTTAGGAAATTATGAGGCTTGTACGTATTTGATCATACATATTTTCGGAACAATTCATGAATATGGTGAGACTCCCGAGTAGGAAATGCAAGTGTTAGACACAGAATACTAAGGCAAAGGTACGAAATATGTTTATCAGATTGTGAACTCTAGTTGACTGAAGTGTTTATAAAACGTATTATATATGCCCAAACGCTTTCTCGACGACCAATTTTAACTAAAATTGGGGTGGATAGATTCTATATTGTTCATATGTTTGTTTTAAAAAACTACTCTACAACTACCCTCCATTCCCAGACAGTGTGAATGGAACATTAAAGTAGGTCCCCCAAAACTCTAGCAGAAGTTCAAAAGTCTATAGTTAGTTTGAAACGAGGAAGGGCAGCTGGATTGCCTCCAGAAGTCTTTAAGGATGGTGGTTCAAGTTTAGCGATTAGGTTGACTAATATTTTAGCTAAGATCTGGGAGTTAGACGTTATTCGATCTGACTGGTCACAATCACTTATCGTCCCAATATATAAGAGAGGGTTAAAATCATCCTGTGACAACCATAGAGGGATTAGTTTAACTAATATAGTATCCAAAAAAACTAGCCTCGATAATTATCAGACGCCTAACTAAGACTCGTGAACTGCAAACACGAAAGAATCAAGCTGGCATCAGACCTGGTCGTAGCTGCATCGACCACATATTCACCATTCGTCATGTTCTAGAACACAGGCATACTTATCGGCGTCCGACAATCGCGGTCTTTCTTGACTTAAAGGCAGCATTTGACTCCGTAGACCGCGAGATTCTGTGGCAGTGTCTGTTATTGAAAGGCGAACCTCAAAATTACATAAACCTTGTAAAGGCTCTTTACTCGAACACTACTAGTCGAACCAGAGCTTATGGCGAACTGTCATCTACTTTTGCAACCTCAATTGGTGTCCGTCAAGGCTGTCTACTTTCTCCAATTTTGTTTAACTTCATCATAGACCTACTGATGGAAATAACATTCTCGTCGACTGAATTCTCAGGTATTGATCTCATTCCAGGAGGTCCACTTATCGACTTAGAATACGCAGATGACATAGTCCTGTTTGGTGAAGACGCTGATAAAATCCAGAGTCTTTTCGTAGCACTAAGCACCAATGCCAGAATATTTGGAATGCGCTTCTCTCCCTCTAAATGCAAGTTGCTGCTTCAGGACTGGTTTACGTCAACACCTGAACTAAGGATAGGGAATGAAGTAGTCGAAAGCGTTGACAACTTCACTTGTCTTGGAAGTTTGATCAGCCCTAATGGGTTGGTGTCTGACGAAATCTCAGCACGGATTCGAAAAGCTCGTTGGGTTTTTGCCAACTTACGTCACCTATGGCGAAGGCGAGATATCCGTCTATCAAAAAAAGGACGAGTATACTGCGCGACAGTCCGTTCTGTTTTAATTTACGGCAGCGAAACATGGCCATTAAGAGTAGACGACACTCGTAAGCTACTAGTATTTGACCACAGATGCCTTAGAAATAATGCTGGCGTCTGCTAGGATCACCGGGTAAGTGATAGTGAGGTTAGACGCAGGGTATTAGGGAATGATGGTTAATCAGTTGACGAGGTTGTGAATCTTCATCGACTGAGATGGTTGGACCACGTGTTACGTATGCCTGAACACCGATTACCACGACGTGCAATGCTAACCAGTGTTCGGGATGGTTGAAAGAAAGTTAGGGTTGGCCAAACCAAAACGTGGCATCAGTGCTTGAAGTCACTAACTTCTAGTCTGAGCCATGTTGGTAGATGCAGACTACTTGGTTGGGGTCCGCGTGACTATCGTAACCAATGGTTTGAGACTCTTCGTGACATGGCTCAGAATGGATCACAATGGCGTAAGTGTATACACTCTCTGTCTTCCCTTAAACTAGGAGATTAAAATCGCTTCATATCTTTCTTTCTACGAACTAATTCTTTGTTCCTGTACTATATCCTTAGTGTAATATTTATTTTATATATTACCACCTCTGAATTAATTACTTTTATGAATCCGGTGTCCATCTTGTTGTGTTAACGAGGTATGGCAATTTGGACAGATGCATATATGTGCCTGGTCCTACGTTGTAGATGACTGACTGATTAAAATAACTCAACTAAAAACAACCTTCGAGAACATGGTCGTAGTTTAGTGGAACAAAACAGCACAGAAAATACCTGAATAAGTGATGAGAGGAATATTTACTCATGAACTACATTTTATAGTCAGATATAATCATGGTATACCAATTTTAAAAAAAGAATTATTACCTTAACAGTAAGCTTCTGACGTGCTAATGCCATTCGAAGTATCAGTGAATGTGTACGATTTTTATACTCATCAACAAGTCGTACAGCTCGAGCAAACGTTAGACATCGCTGATCCACGTCAAGAACACGAAGAAGCTATGTATCAATTATGGATTAGAAGGAAAGTGACAATAAGAATCAGTAAAGAACTATGTATATGTATGTATGTATTTTCATAAGTGATTAATAATACGAGATTTAACTTGTGTTCAACTAACAATATAATTATTTTCAGTTATTATTGATATAGCGTTGGAGATGCTTTCAATCAGGATATTTTATTTACAAAACATTCTAGATATATAGAATTACAGAACTAGCAGAATTAACACTTAAAGCACAATACAATACAGTATATATTGAATTTTAAAAATAATGAATACTGCTTGACTAAAAAGAATCATATTGGCTTCAAAAAAACTTGCTTTCATGTGCATAGGTGAAAAGGTTGTCGTTGTTATATTTAACCATACCACTTGACCTTCTTTAACAAAATATTAATCACAAAGAGTTGGAAATTTATTTCCTAAATCATTTGGGGACCGGTTAGACTACTGAAACAATCACTCTACCACTACTGATCGCTTTACAATTTAATTAAATTTTTTTAAATCACAACAATACAACACAAAATAATAAGATTACCTGTTTATGTGAATCAATACGAGCCTTAATACTTCCATCTTGGATAAGTACTGCTAATTCATTTTCTAGATTAGCTACATTTGTATCGAATGCTTTAGCCATCAAATTTAAATCGGCTGATGAATACGGACTGAAATACTGGAACAGATTAATCCAAATATAAAAAAAGAACAAACAAATCGATAAATGAACAGAGCGGAAACAGATATTGCTCACTAAAGTTAATCGTTCTGCTTTATTTATGGAAACAAATGAACAAAACATAGTAATTGTATATTAATCAGTCATAAGTAACATGTTTATCGCGTCCAGATCGCCTACAATATCAACACAGAGATGAAATTATCAAAACATACCAGAATAGTACAAGTAGTAACAAAATCAGCGGCAGTAGAAAACATTAGACATAAACAATATGATTCGGGAAAGAAAGAACTCAAAGTTGCCATTGTGACCAATTTTGAGTCACGTCACCCAACATCTCCAAACATTGTTTACCATAATCGCACGTAACCCAATCAAGTAGTCTGCACCTACTAACATTGCTCATTTCGGTAGTCAATAACTTCGTCGATTCATGCTACGGCTTATGAAACATGAGTGGTGAGTTGAAGCCTTTCCAGTCATGACAGTGTATGGTTCCATTGTAAAATACCAATGGCACAGCATTGCAAACATTAAACGTAAGAGAAATTTCGGTCTAGCGAAACGTGATGTTTAAAATTAGTATTCATCACCCTGAATTTATCTTAGGCAAGAAGATTCATTAGAAATTCATGAGGCAACAAATCTTCCAAACTAATATTAAACATTAACAACTAATTACAGGAGAATTTCTGAAGTTCTCATGAGGAACTATCAATGGTGGAATTTAAAATATACAGTGAGACAAATATATCAATGACGCCAACTGAATGAAGTTGGAAATGTGTGAAACATGATGGCTCATTGATATCATGTTTGTCTTGAGACCTTAAGGTCTTAAGTTCGGTCTCCGTTGGGATCGTCGTAGCAACAGACAAATGTTTAGTGCCCTCTAGTTCCAAAGACATATACCCAGTTGATGCTAGTTTTCGATGAGAACTATGACCTTGAAAAAGCATCATCACTTTAAATATTTCTAGTTTGAGGTCTGGAATTCTTTGGAGGCGTAGAAATCTATTTGATCTGAATCTAACAGACAATACTTTTGACCTTCCTGACGTAATGACAGAGAAAAGTATTAATTACCATGTTATGTGATTAAGTAAAAATTATTTGAGTCCTTCTTTCTATGCTAACAACTAGCAAGTGAAATACGTTAGTTGAGTTATTCGAGGGGAATTGGTTAAGACCACTGATATCCATATCTAGGTTATTCAAATGAAATTATTTTTAAGGAATGTCGACGACAATCTGATCGATTAAAGCTTTAGTTCATCTATTTTCCAATTGTATAAATATCTTGTAATAAAATTTCCTATTTTAAATTTTTTTAATGTATTAAGCATATAATGCGTACACAAGCGTGCTTTTATAGGCCTACAGTCTATTGTAATGATAAACACTGCAAAATTCAAGTTGATTTGTATATTTTTCACCTTTTTCCGCTTTGGATAAACAAAAAGTGATAACAGTCTAATTCATGTGATGATAAAAGCATTTCTAGGTCCAAATCAAATGGCTAAAAACTTTACCACCGATGAATGGTAGATAATTACTATCAAAAAACCTGCTTTGATGGATACTTCCGAGTATCTAAAAACATAATGAACAGGGAAGAATTTTTTCTAACAATATTGTGCACTTTGTGCAAAGAATTGATTACAGTAATGAGCTATCGAAGGTAAATGAAGTATTTGATAGAAAAAATTATCTTAATAAATACGTGTAGTTGATAAGGAATGAACGCTTAATATCCTGTCTTCTACAGATTATATAATAATTATCAGCTCAAAACTTGCAAATGTCTCCCAGTCGAAACTCATATAAAAAATGGTGACGTATTAACCTATTTTGATATACTGGATATTTCATGTTTTACTGAGCGAACGAATCTAGCTCTGCTCTAGGAAAGTTAGAAATTGAGAACTATAACCTATCTGAACATAGAATCTTCTATTGTTATACTCCATAACGAGCAGTTTAGTTATTGAACCCCTCAGCACTAATATTAGCGACTGGTATTTTGCATACTTCTATTACAGTGGGCCTCAACATCTAATAACGAATTAACTAATGTGAGGCTCCGATATTGAGTCATTATTTTAGGAATCATTCACTGCAGCATGATAGTTACTCTCATTGCATCTGTGAATAAAATTCAAACGTAGGTTATTCAAATACAATAAACACTAACCTGACAAAGTGCACGTGATCGAATCTCTCGACATAATGCAGATACATGATCGGACAAAAATATATCTAACCGTAGAATATTTCGTAGTTTATTTAATCGCCCCAAACAAGATGCGTAATCTGCTTGATGGAACGACTGTAACATGTCACGACAAGCAGGTTCTGCTTCCAAAAGTAATCTCAACGATGCATTCCCAAGAACTAATGTTGCTAATTCAGTACGTTCAAATGTAGCCAAACTGCATAATGTAATGAAAAATGCTAAATCTGATATAGTTACAATCCGACTAGTAGGTGATTCACAATGATCATGATTAACCTGGAATGATAAAGAAGAGGTATATGTTTATGAACAAGTAAAAACAGTCAGAAAGGTTTGAGAAATCAATATTTTGGACCAAAATAAAGAAAAACTATGATAGGAGTATTATTACTATCACAACCTTTTCCAAATACTACTCGGTTGGGAGCCATACATATCTGTTTGCATGAGATAGATCTAATAATATTACTCAAACTGACCAACTTCGAAGTAGGTAACAGACGAAATTCGAACAATCAACTTAACTGTTGAAAGTCAATTGCTTTTTTAACCAGTTAGCATCGACAACAACTGAAGGATTAATATAATAGAGGCTTCGGTAAAATATGATATTTAATGTATACATAAATTTACGAAATAATTCAGGTATCTTCTTTTTGAAACATGGTAAGAGAAGAAAAAAGTAACAACCAGTCTTATACATACTAGAATTATATGAAAATGCATGGTGTTCATTATTTCACTTACAACTAATTGATCATGAATCCAGATCCTACTTCACAGAGTTACATCACAATAAATCTGGAAGCATACTTAAGTAAGAGAATATTAAATAACTGTTATATGCGGACGAGAATAAATGAATGATAAACGTTAGGAATTATTTATGGGCTAATATCATACGAATATTCTTATTGTATGATTATTAAGTAACTATATTATATGTATCTTAATATTACTTGCATTATAAGCTTTTATTTGACTTATTGGTTATATGATTTACTATTCTCAAGTTATTCTCAATCTATTAGTCACAGTTTCTCCCAATCACGACCACTTTTGGTTTGATCTTGTACAAATGTAATTTTCTATTTTATGGTGTGATGTGGTTTGGTTTGTTTGTATATAAACCAATTAGGTTTGAAATATATGATCCGGACAGCGAAGGCTGAGATTAGCATTCTGAACTTAACAAACAGGGCTATGGGGGAAAAGGATCAATCGGAACTCTGGGCTGTCCGTACTGGTGTTCGCATCATTAGTTTGATCGTATAAGTCAGCATATCTAAATTGGCAATCGTATTTCGCGATATGCGTATAGCTAAGGAAATAAAAATAATTTTTTATTAATATGAGGTTATAGACTTGGGGAATCTTGAAGATAGTAATGAATATGGACTCAGTGATCATCAAAACGAAATAGACTCTTAGTATTTTATGAGGATAGATACAAAACTAGCTATTGTAGTTTGTATGGTCTACATTAGTTTATAACCGCCATCAAATATAATAATAATATGGTATACATATGCGGCTTTAAAATACCTTGAAGCTCTATGTATATATTCTTTTCTTATTTCATTGGCTTTCATTTCTATGGGCGAATCGGATAAACAGATCACTATCTGAAGTAAAATATGTTATTTGATCTATTTATCTGTTCGTTATTAACGACTAGTTAAAGGGTTAAAGGTTTTCTTTTGTTTTCTGAGTAAACTTAATAACATTTCTGGTGAAAAAAAGTCGTAATTAGTCACTAACTAACCGGCTATAGTATATATTGTAGAATATCATATATTACTGCATATGTTACTTATTAAAAGCTTAGTATTGTGTTTTTATAAATTATCGTTTCGGCTTATATCTGGTTCTTAGTCGGATATTTGAGTCTGTTGATTTAGTCTTTATTGACTAGCATTAGTAGTCTGAACAATCCGTTATAACACTTTATTATATTAAAGTTGAGCTAATAGAAAAGGATAGGATAACTAGTTGTACGAGATATCAGTACCTGAATTAGTTAGAATCTTCTTAATAACCCGGAGAAATAAACAAGCAACGACACATCTAGAAAATCACCTGGTGTTCATACTCGAAAGTGAGATAAAATATGAATAATGGACTCTAATTATAATTACAGTTTGTACAATAACTTACAAGGACAAGTGAAATGTTTGATATTGTATCTCAACTAAATCGAAAAGCTCCTATTTATCTAACAAGATACAGACACAGTGGGAATGTAAGTATACAAATTGATACAACAAAGCTTTGAAGAGAATCAATTAAAAAACAAAACCATTAGATCACAAGAAATATAAGTAGGCTTAATACAGAAGTATCAACGCAGTACTTTACAGCTAATACTAACCTAAGAATTATACCACACAGGAGTAAACCATTAAAACGACATAACTTACTTGAAGGAAATTCATTGCAGCACCTCTGTAGTTACGAGAAGCTAATTCAACTAGTCCAGCAGCAATAGCTAGCTGAGTTCGGGCTTGAGCTAAGGCATCACGATAACTTTGACCACCTGATGTAGGAATATGACCTCCAATACTATCACCAGGGTGTCGAGATGAAATGCGGCTTGAAGGGTCTATTAAACTAGAAGAGCCACGTGTAGAAGATTCACCGGATATGCCGGCAGTTGTTGTACGTGTTGTACCCAAACGAGCTAGGGCTTCAGTACGGCTTCGTTGTTGAGCATTTAATTCGGCTGCATTTGCACCTAGTAATGGGGCAGTATCACGTAGTTCAGATAAACTGCTGGCTCGAGTAACATGTGCACTAACATGAGACCAAGCACGTTGAAATATAGCCACCTAATATTTTGAAAAATCAGATAAGATATATTTATTCAGATCTAATTTCCAACAAACAATGATGAAAAGTGAATGAATTTGCACCGTTTTTAAAATGTAAACATGTAAAATACTATATTTTCCTAAAAATGTTGTGATATAGGGTTTCTACCTCGTTCAGTGACAAGCATATATAAACAACAGGTCTTTAACTATTCACTAACTGATTGCGCATGTTTTTTTTACAAAAGAATTCAGAATATTGTAATTGTTTCGAATCGCCTACGCCTTTCTTTCAAATTCTAAACGACACTTAGTCTGTAGAATCAACATGGTCAGTATTTTGACTAACTTCACATCGATTCAACAAGCTTCTTTTTACTGAAATTCTGAAAGACTCACAAAATCATTACAATAAGGCAGTTTTGAGCTATGAATGATAAAAGTATATTTACAGAAATACGAAGTGTTTTGTAAGTATATCAGTGTACTGAATTAAAAATCTAAACCCAAATAATAACTACAGAAATGATCGAGAGAAATGTAACATTAAAGCCACAAGTAAATGATTTGTTCACCTTCTACAACTCTCGAATCTACCCGTGATTTAGCTAACCTGATATGGTGAACCAGGCAATGGCTTGGCATGTCATACATTTTCTACCCACTTCAATTATTATCCTTAATCATCGACAAACTTACCTCACTTGTTAGGAATATCGTGAGAAGAGAATAATAATATCGCAGTAACGCTGTATAAATATATGTGGAACGTATTTAGATTATGATAAGCAAGATGTTAATAGGTGTAAACTATCTGATTGGTATTCGCATGATTATCGTTACCCCTGGTTACAGACTTTGAGTGAAATGACTCAAAATCGTTTGCAACGGCTCCTGAATTCCACGTAACTGTTCGTGTGTTTTTATTTCACTCATTTGTATCTTCTTGAACATCTTTGATCAATAATTCTTTTAATCACCACTTATTCCGTTATTACATTTACTATTCTGGGATTTGATCTGACAATTTCATTTATCTATGCTTATGAGCAACTTGAAATAATTTTATACATACCAGGTTCCATGTTGTGACTGACTGTACAGATGTAAATTGCGAGAAAGCGTATCGAGTTACTAAAGGGCAGAAACTTGTTATTCTTAAAACTACGGACAGCATTTATCCCATCACAAAAACAGCATGGAAGTGATTTAACCACTAGTCCATTAAAGTTATTGGATATTTTGAAATTAGTCAAAGGATTTTTCTATAGTTTGTACGAAGTACATGGTTAGTGTAATCAAGTAGTAAACAATTAAACTTAAATTGTAAAGTACAATATATCAAAATCTTTCCATTCACAGCATAACTTCTAAACATTAAAATGAATTCAGCTCAATAATAGTATAAAACTCCATATAATATAAAATAAAAATTTATCAAGTAAAGGTAGACGGTGTGAAAAGACAGTCAAGTTCGATAGCTAATGATCCATTACCAAACTACTGAGAAACGGTTCTACTGACCTTTAATACATATATATTCCATTAAAACCAACAAGATTACAAAGTGAAAATATAAGGTTCTTTAAAATTATCCGAAGTTCAGTTATGAATACAACACGTACATAAACAAATATATCTATACAGTAAGAAAAATCAGCGATTTACCTTAATAACATTTAAACACATAGTCAGTTCTTGTTGTTGAGATGTACAATAATCTCTGGAACGAGCAAAACATTTATTCGCATTGCTCAATTGTCCTAACTGTAAATACAAATCACCAAGATCATCAGAACCACGACTATTTTCGTAAGAAAAGTTAAAACAAAAAATTATGATAACATCAAATGAAATGACATGAAAATATTCAAAAACAATCAGTCAATCTTAAACACCGTAGAACCTGAGGCACATAAATGCATCCGTTTAAGTTACCAGACCACATCAGTACAGGATGGAACCATTAAGACCCATATGATGTTGCACTAACTTTTAGTGAAAATATCTCTCACCATCAAATACAAAACCTTAAACTCAATAATATGTATCGGTTAGTTCCACACACCATTCTTTTTAAATAATTATAAACAATGTTTTGGTAAAAATATTGACGATAAAATGTTAAACATAACATACAACAATAACTAATTATTTACCGAAGTATCGCTGACTATTTATGTAATGGTTAGAACAAACTAATTTAATGTTGCGCTAATGAAACTTCGTTAGTTTATTCGATATCACTTTCTGTTATCTTGAATAGATAGACCAGAATTGGGTAAAAATATAAATAAGAAAGATCATAGTCCACAATAAATTTATTTTTTTAAGTTCTTTCTAAACGTTTTATGAAAACACCTATGTATGATGATTACTGAACAAATTGGAACATCAAAATTGACATTTGCTTTATCAAAAAGGGACATATACGCCTAGAATAACTCAATTTAATTTATATGATACTGGATAGTGATTACATGTCTTATGAAATGTGTGGTACAATTATATGTATGCTGATTTTTTTTATCCACTTTAATAATGAATTGTTGTGACGTGTGACTGCAGATTAGAGTGGAGCGTATTCTCGATCGTAATAATGACACGTAAATACGTAAGAGACGACCTAGAGCCCCGATTCGCCCTGCTGCACTATCTATCCCAGCCAGTTGAGTCCAGAACACAAGTCTTAGCCTCTGAGTTATGAATCACTGTATTTCAGACACACTCTGTTTATATACCAACCAAACCACATCGTGCCATAAGATAGAACAATATTTTGTACAATATTTAACAAGTGAACAAATATCGACCAATAGGGAGTGTTCATTTAACATCCAAGGACAACATTAGACTTAACATGATAATTATTGGTATACTCCTCTGCATCCATAACAAAAATAATAATTTAGGACCAAGAGAATCAACACTTCATAAAGCGATAATAGATAAGAAAATATAAAGTCGTAGATGAATTATTGTTATTAGTATCACCAAGATAATTTGTTAATTGAAAGTAGGTACATTAACGATAGCATGACTGAATTTGAACCATATCAACTGAAACACCTGGTTAGTCTGTCATATGAAATGTGGAACCTGGCACAAATATGTGCAATGCCCCTACTTATTATACCATATCAGTACGGCAAGATGGAATTATTAAGACAAATGCCAGAGTAGTGACAATAAAAATGGTACTAGAAAACAATGAACACAGACAATGTGATTTGAGAAAAATGAATTCGTGGAAAACATAGTATACGACAGTTTTAAAATTCAAAATCCAATGGAAGATAAAGGGTGGATAGATCTGGATCATTGTGACTGATCCCGAACCATGTCACTCAACGTCTTTAACTGTTGATCACTATGATCGCGCATAACCCAACCAAGAAGTCTTCAGCTATCTACGTGGCTGAGTTCAGTAGCTAACGCCCTCATGAACGGATGCTGCATCTTGGTTCGGTTGCCCCTAGCTTTTCTTCGATATACTTCTATGTCAGCCCGAAATAGGAGTTAAAGTGGAAGGTAGTAGTGCATAAATAAGTAATAGATATCCCAATCAATTCGGTCAATGAAAACTCATAACTGTAGTTACGGTTATTATGTTAAGCCCATATACCTTATTCTAGCTTTCGGACAGCCCATTCTATCCATTCTACTTGAGTCACATTCTGACCTTGTTATTGATTCGCTTATCAATCTTAACTGTTTTTATATGAGCGCGTAGGTGTATGTATATTTCTTATCCCATTACTCATCGCATGTCCGTAACTTATTATTTATTTTATTTATTTGAACACATGAATATTGGTACAAGAGAGCGCCAATATATATGCGTCACACGTCGTTTTGCTTCGTTCTTTTCTATTAACTTTATACACAAAATATATGTATTCAAAAGTCCATTCTCGTTATTTGACTTATTCAAATCCGTTATTGACTAAGACGATTTAAGCCGATGATTATATACGAGGATAGGCGACATATATATTCCAACAACAATCATCATTACAATCTCCTTGGAGTCAGATCTCGGGCCACTAAAGTGGAGAGCCCTTTCGACATCGTTCGATCTAAACAACGGCAAGACGACGGGCCGCACATAAACTTATTAGCCGAGTTGAAAAAAATTATTTTTAATAACAATAAAAACGAAATTATCACTTTTAAAATACCGTATGCTTTCTTTGATTGAATTTGCCTTGTGATTTTTTAATTCTGTATCTAACTGTTCCAAAAGCATAACACCTTTTCGCCTTGTAGACTCTTCCCATTTCGCGTCGTAAACCAAATTGGCTTCGTTCTGTAATTATGTAAATACATTTTTTTTAGAAAGCAATAAGTAGACAGTGATTTGTTAAGATGAACTTATACTTGACAAATACTCGGTTGAAGCGTATCTAGCTACTTTAGTTTTATACGGATACTGAAAAGATGTCAGTACTAAAGTAGCAATTTATAATGCAGAAATACAGGCTCTTAAACGCACGTTTTGATTTCGTCACATACACCAGAATGATTGTAAGACTTTATATTTAACGAAGTTCAAAATACAAAAACCGTCCTAATCTCTTAAATAGCTTCAATGGTTGTACTTCTAAAGAGAATAAACGAGAAACACTGCCTGTGTTATTACAATGAGTTATAATCTATTTATGTATCATCCAAAATCCATAGTTTACATAAAATAATACCACCATTGATGATGAATCATACCAATACACAGGTCCTTAAATTATATGGATAATTTTAATTATTTTATTTGGACACATAAATATTGGTACAAGGGGGAACCAGATATATATGTGCCACACAATAACAATGAGAATGGGAAGAGAAAAAGAATGTAAGGTGCGTATAAGAAAGAAGAAAAAAGAAAACAATAACGAACGCTATATATATTTTGTCGAGAAGGCTAATTTGTTGAAATTCAATCACGATACTAAAGACATGTATTGCTATGAAATCTGGGATACTATACTTAAAGTACGATAAAATCATAATCAAATAAACTATTTTAAACAGTACCTATGCATCGGTAACTTACTTTTCCGGACATGACTTCAGTTAAAATATTTCTGGAAGCTTCCGTTAGAGAGGAACCCAGCACTCCTAATTCACTTGGGCTAGATAAAGACAAACCATCTGAAAGGTGATTGTTTGTGATAAGGCGCATTGAGAAAGCCGACTGTTGTTGTTGCCTAGATGTCTCACCGGATGCTGATGAATCAGCTACAGAAAAGTTTGCCTAAGGAACAAAATAACATAATCAGCTTAATCAACTAATAAAACAAAAATATTTTGGTAAATACGAATATCGAATGACAAGTCGTTAGTTATAAAACAGAATTTGCCAAAATAAATATTTTAAAAGTATTCTAAAAAACAGTTGAAAACTGAGCATTGTGACTGCAAAAGGGTGATCAGTATCTCAGATTCTATTTACATGCCACTAATGTGAATTAGATAGACAAAAATGGCATGGACATTTAATACGAGCCCAAGCGGCTTGAATATTAGGTTTGCATACCATAAATCGTAATTCAAAGTCACCAGTTTTATAGTCGACTTGTAGGAAAATTTGTTATTTAGTAATTGGATGAAATTACCATAAGATACTTTTGTTTTGATCATGTTAATAGTACTTTATTAGTTCAGGTGAATCCAGCTGATGAGTTCCAAATAAGAAAAAACCCGCATCTTAATTCCCACTGCCAGCCACACACCACCTGTTATACGTAAGCTTATTTCTTTCCTCGAAAAAAAACAAAAAATTAATCTTATTTAAAACATAGGATTTTTGATAGGAGAAAAGTTACTTAGCAACAAATCCAGTGAAAAATACTAGTCAGCAACTGGTGTCAACAGTTTGATTTCGCGAATCTTTGCTGGTGCTTTGTTTCAGTAGTTTGTCGTTTAACAAGCTCACTATCGATACCCGACTCAGTTTGGTAGAGGTAATTACGTTTCTTACAGATAATTTTAGAATTAGTAGATTGTATTGCATGGCTTATAGGTAGCTGGAAGCCGTATATGTCTAATGCAAATGTTCCCTTTGCACAACATAAATTTTCAGTCGTTTAACATAACAGGGGACTATTAAAGTTAATAGTGACCATAAAACCGTAATTTTTCTAATACTTCTTGTTTGCAGAACTGAGTTAGCCGGGAACTACTGGACTGATTTTTACCTCAATTCTTATCACTCAATAAAATTCATTATTGTTTTCGGCTGTTGAACAATCTATAGTTTTTTAATTTTATGACGTGACACTACTAAGAGCATGCTACGGCATCAGCACTGATTAACACCAAATGTGCAATTGCAAATTCATAATGAATCTTTTACATTGTTGTCCCAAAGTGACTATTGATAAAGCATCCTAGCACGTCAAGTTGTTTTTTCTGTACCATTATTTAGTCAGCGGAAAGTTTATATGTCTGTATGATCAAGTTGCGAAGGAAAATATAAAGATCGAACACAAGCAAGATGGTAATAAAGCTAGCACGTAAGCAAAATAGAGCACCAGTCAATCAATTATACTCAACGTAGAACTTGGTATATGGGTACACCAGTTTGGATTGCCATACCACATTAGCAAAGAGAGATGAAAATATCGGGGAAAATCCCAAGGTAGTCACAGCATTAGTGGTAATAGAAAATATTAGGCATTGAAGATACGATTCATGGTGATATAAATTGATTAAATAAAAACATTTCGGAATTTAGAAACTTAAAGTCTAGAAGACAAAGAGTGAATAGACTTAAATCATTGCAATCGATTTTGAACCATGTCGTTCAAAGTATCTAACTATTGATTATGATAATCACACGGACCCCAATTCAGTGGTCTGAACCTACTTATAAGGCTCAATCCAATGATCCATGTCTTCATGGACTGGAGCTATATATTCGTTTCCTAGTCCCTAGCTTCCTCTCAACCTAATTCTACCCGTTAACATCGAACATCGAGTTGATGGGTGAGTATATATAATACATGTTTTAGTCATCTAAGTTGAACGTTCACTACCTCAATTTCGCCATAATTAAGTAGTAATCTGAGTCTAACCTCAAGATTACTAGCTCGTTAGTTCCAGAATACATGAACAACACTTCGAAGACACATATGATCAAAAACTAGCAACTTACGAATATTCCCTAATTTTAAAAACCACGTTTCACGGCCATGGAGTGGAACGAAGAGAACTGCACAGCAAACTAGTCCTTAAGTTGACAAAATGAATTCTTGTCCAGGATACAAGTGACATGTTGGCAAAACGAAAACGGGATTTCTGAATTTGCACACAGACCACATCAAAAACCAAGCCACCATGACCGACGAAACTTCTAACTGAAATGGTCAACACGTTCAACTACTTAATTTAGAGGTTGACTCAGATTAATCCTGAAGCAACAGATTCTATTGTTGTTTAAGACGGTGAGAAGACTATTTTCCTAACGCTTTAATACAGAGCACCGAAGTGTATCATACACAACTTTACACGCAAAGCACCACTTGAACTAATAAGAAACACTGGGTTGAACATACTAGTCAAAATGCATTTACTAGCTTCAAAACGCATAATTTTAAAATAACAAACAACTAGGACATATTTGCGACAGAAACCCCGTATCTAAATAATGAAAACTATACACAAGAAATGCTGACAAGTTACTGTTCTGAAATAATCAATTTTTTCTGCTAATTAATAGCAGAAATTGATGAGCGATAAACTATGTTTTGACGTCCAGTCAAGCCACCAAATTAACCAAAATTAACACTGTCATAGCTTGACGACACTTTTAGTGTCAAAAACACCTGTCTTGACATATTCGCATTCAAAAGGGCAAAAAGCAAGAGGAATGTTAAACTAACTACCTGCTCGGCTAACATTAAAAATATTTTATTGTATGCGGAGGTGTCCAATGTAGACTTTTTGATGTAATCATGTGCAAGACGCAGTGCTACAACACGCAAAGAAGGGCACCGCTGAGCAATAAAAAATAGGCGTTGGTAGTATATGTATCCCTGGTAGTTCGAAATATAATTTCCCAAGTCCTAAAAGAATATTGGTCATGTACTATAATGCGACTAACAATCTGAACTTCATCATCCACTGTCTCGTATTCTGTTGAAGCATGAGAAGAGGGCGGAGCGTCTTCAAAAAGGGTAGAATCTAAGTGAAGCATGATTAAGACTGATCAGTACTCTTCAGCACCGTCACTTTGGTAAACCCCGCTCAATTCAATCGATCTTCGCAGTAAATTCCAATATCCAATACGTTTGTCATAAGTCTTCAGTCTTCAGTAATAAGGATAGTAGGTTGGTGAACCTGCATTAATCCTGACACATTGCTTTCCAGTGAAGGTCCAGCTTCTCCTTGAAAGTATTCGCTGATGGGGCTGATACCACTTGTTCAGGTAAGGCGTTCCAATCATTGACTACTCGATGAGAAAAACGGGACCCCACTTTAAGTTTATTAGATCGTGGTTTATGAACCTTCTTGCTATGACCTCGGAGATTATTAGTGCTGGAGGGAGCAAAAAGATAAGACATATTAACACCCAAATCATAATTAAAGATACGAAATGCCAGTATAAGGTCACCTCGTGTCCTACGATAAGACAAGGGGAAAAGATTTAGGCGTTTTAAACGCTCACCATAAGGGAGTCTGGAAAGACCCTTCACTAATTTCGCTCCTACACGCTGGACACGCTCAAGGGAGTTAGTATCCTTTTCCAGACACGGGCTAGCTGCTTGGATACAGTACTCTAAATGTGGTCTAACATATATGGGATATAAAATTCGAAACGTTTCCTCGTCAAAAGATTTGAACGCTCGGCGAAGTGACCACAACGCACGAAAGCCTTTGACAGCGGCTGCTTTGCAATGCTTAGTTGTTTTTAAATCATGACATAATACTGCACCTAAGTCTTTATGCTCTTGAACGCCAGGAAGAGGTTTACCCTCAATAGTATAACGGTAACTATTACCATAACCGATGTGCATTAGTACACTCTTCCTAGCATTGATTTCTAAGCCCCACTCTCGAGCTCATCTAACTAAATCGTCCAAGTCAGCTTGAAGATCCAGGTGATCAGCTGCACTTTTTATTGTTCTCCAGATTTTTACATCATCCGCAAACAATAATGTCAACGACCTAAGTAACAGCGGTAACTCATTAACGTAGAGAAGGAAGAGCAGAGGGACTAAGATGGTGCCTTGGGGTACACCACTATTGACCAGCTTCCAATCGGATAGCGTTCCATTGACCCTCACTCTTTGTTTGTGGTCACATAAGAAATTTCCTATCCACTCCCTTACAGTACCTATTATTCCGAAGCTCGTGAGCTTCTGCATGAGACCTACGTGTGAAACCTTGTCAAATGCTTTGCTAAAATCTAAGAATATCACGTCGACAGACAGACCGTTATCTAGGGCTGCTGTCCAATCCTCCCTCGCAATAAGCAAGTTAGTCAAGCATGAACGCTTGTTACGAAATCCGTGTTGCTCAGGAGCTAACAAATTGTGTAGATCTATGTGGCTTAGCAACCTAACCCGAATTATCTTTTCAAGTAACTTAACGACTATGCTAGTTAGACTGACAGGCCGTTAGTTAGATACTATCTGTCTCTGACCGTCCTTAAATATAGGACTGACTATAGCGTCTTTCCAATCTCTAGAGAGTTGAGCGAGTGAAAGGGACATGTTGAAGAGTGTCGCGGGCGGTTTTGAAATAATGTCCACAAGAGATGACAGCAACCGTGGATGTAACCCGTCAGGGCCCGGTATTTTACCAGGTTTGAGGTTAGTTATCAACGGAAGGACAGTTTCCTCAGTCACCTGTACAGATTCAATGGTTGGTATCTCGGTGTGAGTGGTACAAGTATTTGTTACAATAAACGTATAGAATACTTCGCTAAAATAGTTTGAAAGAGTCTCAGCTTTTGCTAGATCTGATTCAGCTAGTAATTCTGAATTTTCGTGTAACGGTAACGAGGGAATACCATCACTACGTTTCATTCGCCGTTTAACATACGAAAAAATCGTTTCGGACAAGTACGGATATCATATACTAACTGTCGTTCGTAAGTGATACGGGATTTTTCTATGGTTTTCCTACAGATATTACGGAACTTTTGATACTCACGCTTAAATGGTGCATGACCTGTCAACAAGAATAAGCCCCGGAAATGTTTCCTACGCTTTAACAGTTTCCGGGTTTCCTTATTAATCCATGGAGGGCAATGTGATAGCTTACGTGCTGACCATGGGATAAACGGCGACGTTACGGACTCGAATGTGGCCTTAAACTTATTCCATTCATCTTCGATCAATCCATCCGCGTCGACCGACCAATCAGTCGAGATAGCACAGTTTCTGATTTCCGGAATATTGGCTCGCCAGATATTGGGACGGGGTGGAGCAGATACGAATTGTATACCATGTGTCCTAAACTTAAAGTGAATTACAACGTGATCACTGTTAACTAGTGGGGGAAGGTGCTGGATATCAAAGACGTCCTCATAGCGGTGGGTGAGAGAGAGGTCCAGCAGTGACGGAACATGTTGCAAATCAATATGTGTCGGTTTTGTGATACATTGTACAAGTGCACACTGAATAACGGTAGATAAAAGGTCGCTATCGAAACCACTACCTGGAGCTGTAAGCTCTATCCAGTTGATATGCGGTGCGTTGAAGTCCCCAATGATGAGACAACATTCTGCCATACTCCAAGAATAGATGTGTCTTAGGATAAAGTCGTCAGCAAGACAAAACGGACTACGGTATATTTCCCCTATAGTCAATAACCCATTTCTAGATTTATTCTTACAACATGCAACCTCACATGTGCCACTGATATGGGCCTCCGATATGGTTGATTGTATACGAAAGTGATCCCTAACGTATAATATTATACCTCCTCCCTTGCGACTTGAGACTCTATCACTTCTAATACAGATATAACCTGCAATGAAAGGAGAACAGTCTATATCTACTATGAACCAAGTTTCTGTAACAACGATTATATCGGGACATAATTCTTCCACCATCAGAATTAGCTCGGACGTTTTATTTCTAAGACTACGAGTGTTCGTGTAGCCCACACTTAAGATGTTTTTGCAATCAATCGTTCTGCCCATACAGGCCTCGGAAGCATTGGCTTCCAAGACCTGACTACCCGAAAACCCTTAATGGTAAGGTTATTTTCGCCATTTAATTTGCGAGTCCTCAACTCCCTAAGGGCATTCTTCCATTTGAGTCGATCCTCAAGCGGCCAATTTGGTCGAATACGGATATTCGAATCACGAGTTTTTAGTGCGTTTTTCAATAATATGTCTCTTTCTTCAAAACTCCCGAGAACCATCTTCAGGATTCTTCTTGGTTGGGTCTCGCCTCCAACTCATTTACCAAGTCGTATTACTTTTGTAATATGTACCCCTGAAACCCCTTCAGGTAGTACATTCCTTACCACAGACTCCACTAACTGCAGGTCATGTGCATGTCTTCTAGCAGAGTCGTTGTCTTTCGACTCCTCTAGATTCCAAATAATTAAACTAGGGAGGGGTTTAGCTTTTTTGAAACTGTGTTCACAGCTTTCGACCGTGACGTTAGATCCTGTATTTTAACTACTGGTATCTTACGATTAGTTTTCATTGTAACAGAGTCCTGGGAGTCGAGCGAGTGACTCACAATGTTAGACGAAGCTTTACTATGGGACTTTGGCGGAGTGGTCTGAGAGTCCACCAAGGACTTATCAAGTAAACGGTCATTAGTCTTAGCTGTCTTTCCTATTCTTCTGCGTTTCTGTGTCATCCATATTCCATCAGTCGTAGCATCCACATTAGAACCATTCGGGACAGTAATTGTTTTATCTGGGTCACCGGTTGCTGCTGTAGCAACATGGCCACCAATATCTAGTGAGGTGTCACTCATTGATTGTTTCGGGTTAGACGGTTTAATAGCAGGTTGTACAGTTAGATGTCTGGCTTTCGCCGTGTCAGCATTTACGACACTAACGTAATCTTCGCCATCAGTACCAATATTGTCAGTGCAGCCCTCATCAACTTTCTTATGAGCCAACACTAGGAGACTAATTGCTTCCTGGATAAGCAATGCTTTGCTCGAGCAACAAAAACTACAAAGCCAATGAGAGTTGGGCTTTGAGCACCTTTTATATGCAGTGGGGCTTAATCGGGTGCACATCTTATGGAACCACTTATTACACCCATCACATTGCATCCCTTCCTCCACGGGAAATAAGCAATATGGTTGTCCACATTTATGAGTAGACCTAGCCATCGTGAAAATCAACTAGAACGGTGACAAAAAACAGGATATGTAAAGGGATTTTTAAACCTTAACTAAATAAATCAAGTAAAAGTCGACCAAGTATGCTTCGATGCAATAAATACACAAAAGCAAAACCGAAACACTCAATACAATATCACTTTAACTGGAGTAGATGCAGTTAAAGTATAAACAGTAGTTCTGATGCATAATTTACGATCAAAACAGATAATTAACTCAACGAGAAACAATACCACTGTCCTTTTAAAAAAAAGCTAGTATAAACAATTTACTTCTCTGCTGTCGCTTCTTATTGTATCAGTATGGTTCGAGTAGTTGGTAGTGAACAGTGAGTGAAAGTCTAGTCATTCGACTGCACTAATTCCGGTCACTTTGGTAGTTACTTATGGATTAGTATATCTTGTGGTGTGACTGACTACTTTTGTCTCAAGTCAGTAGTGCTTCCAGACGCTGGCAGCTCTCACATTACCATGTGAAAAATAACAAAGAGGAAATTCGGATGATAAGAGAAGAAAATTGTTGTTGGAACCAACTAAATATCGATTACGTAATAAGGAGACGAAGATTATGAGAACTATGTGATATCATATAGTTCTGATAATCTTCGTCTCCTTATTACATTATCGAAATTTATCAAAGGGGCTAATTGCCTTATATCTCTTGAAAGAAAACTCCCTGCATATACTAACTAAATAAATATCAAAGCTGACTAGCTAGTAATCCAGACAGTGTGAAGAGAATGAAGGGGAAAACTGAGACGTTTTTTCAGCGAGATAGCCGGTATTTACTGTTATGTGATAATAACCGCAGTAGGTAAATTGCGAAAAGCACACTAGGCACAGCCGGTCAAAGCGAGGAATGGTTATCCCTTGAAAGCTCATAGGAGGTCATTCTTGGAGTTGTGCCAAGTCTGAAGTCCCTTAGTTAAGTCTTCTCGGCTTC